CTTGCATGATTTTTGAGTTATTGCCCTTTGTTATTTTTCAAAATTGATTTTTGTCCAGAGCATAACTCCAAAAGCCTATGAGATATTAACATGAAACTTCATAGGTGCATAGATCTCACTCAGGAGGTGTGCAGTGCACAAGAATGATAACTCTTTCTTTCATAATTTTTGAGTTATTGCCCTTTGTTATTTTTCATACCTAATTTTTCACCTGAGTGGAGCATAACTCAAAAAGTGTTTGAGATATCAACATGAAATGTCATAGAAGGATAGATCTTATTGAGGAGAAATGTTGTGCGCAAGAATGATAACTCTTCCCTATACAATTTTTGAGTTATTGCCCTTTGTTGTTTTTTTCATGCTATTTTGTCCAGAGCTTATCTGAAAAAATATTTGAGGTATCATCTTGAAACTTCATAGGTGGATGGATCTCATTGAGGAGGAGTGCAGTGCTAAAGAATGATAACTCTGCCCTGCATTATTTTTGAGTTATTGCCCTTTGTTATTTTTCAAAATTAATTTTTGTCCAGAGCCTAACTCAAAAAGCCTTTGAGATACCAAAATGAAACTTCATAGGTGCATAGATCTCACTCAGGAGGTGTGCACTGCACAAGAATGATAACTGTACCTTTTATAATTTTTGAGTTATTGCCCTTTGTTATTTTTCATACTTAATTTTTCAATTCAATTTTTTTCTCAAAAAGTATTTGAGGTATCAACTTGAAACTTCAATTGTGGATAGATTTTACTGAGGAGGGATGCAGCACACAAGGATGATATCCTACCCTGCATTATTTTTCAGTTATTGCCCTTTGTTATTTTCAGCCATCAATATTCACATAGGTTTCAAATCTGTAATCACTATAGCCATCAGTTTTCATTACCAAAAGACCTCTTAAAATGGAATTATTCTGCTCTACTACATATACATTCTTCCAATGAGCAAACACATTCGGCGGGGGATGGCCATGTTGACATGGCTCTTGTTAATAATCTAATTACTAAATAGGCTTGTCCTGAGTATAACTTGATCATTATAAGTTTGATCGACTCTTAATTTTGTATGTAAGCTTTTTTCATTGACCTGAAGTGCAAAGTGCTTACCTGAAGTGCAAAGTGCTTAAGAATCCATCACAGAGTACTCCATTTGATCTGTCAGTGTAAATCTTTTCCATGGTATTTTTATTCTTCATAATATAACTGTTTTATAAATCCTGATGTAAAATTGTAACAATCAGTTCAAATGCCACTAAAATTGAAGGGTTAAACGATACTTACTGACAAAGGAGGGAAGTTGATGTTTAACCCAGATTTTGTTGATGCAAACTCCTGGAGGGATAACACAGAGATGATGTAGTTCCTGGGCCTAAGTAACCTCAGTCTTTAGAGCTTATATCAACAATTTTCAATTTCATATTGAAAATTTTGTTGGCAATATATGTGTAAAAAGTGAACAATCCCCAAATTGGGTGGGAGGGTGCGTGTGTTATCCCTCCAGGAGTTTGCATCAACAAAATCTGGGTTAAACATCAACTTCCCTCCTTTGTCGGTAAGTATCTTTTAACCCTTCAATTTTGTCTCATGCATAACTCCTGGATGGGATGCACAGAGATTTTAGAGTTGTTCACTCTTTAAACATGTAGTTTTTTAAGAAGATGAAACCATCTTTCGCTTAAATGAACAGAAATTTTTAATGTTTTAATTCATTCTTAAATATGCATTGTAAAGAACAAGTGAAAATTTTTTATACAAGTATATACATTTTATTTTATACATTATGACATTCTTGCAATACCATATTAGCAAATTGATTGTCATTTTCCACAATAGTTTTATCATAATGTTTGGCAAAGGTACGAGCCTGACTCCACCCTGCCGTTTTCAATATTGATGGAAGATCAAGTTTCTTGGCTTTCACATTGCTAGCAGATGCAGCCCTTATACTGTGAGCTGAATAGTTAATACTTATTCCAGCTTTTTGTAAGAACAGTTTAATCCAACGAGCAACGGTGTCTTTGCTCACACCTTTGTGAGGCAATTGTGTGCTCACTAGTAATTGTTTAACAGTGCCTCTCAATATTTTAGTGCGTTCTAAATATTCTTGAAAAGTGGTTACAATACATAATTTTGAATTATTTGGATATGATGAAAGCTCAATTGATGGTAAATGATAACCTGGTCTTGATTGCTTCAATAAGTGATTAGTATGAATAATCAAACCAGAAGTTACAAATTCTATATCATCTATACATATTAAATGCACAGTCTGGCAACGCTGGGCCGTAAGTAATAAAAATAATACACAGAGTTTCCCTGCTAGTTGTAACAGATTGACATTAGTGGGTAGGGTTTTCATATCATCTAGAACACTACCAACTGACCAGATCTTTGTATGTTTTGGTATATTTGGTCTCAATTCAAAAATGCCTTTTAAGAATTTTGTCACCAGTGTTGAATTACTGAAATTTTGTCCTTGGGAAACTAATAAAAACTGATTCACTGCAGATCGAGCAATGCAAATAGTTGAATAATTTAAATTTGATTTATAAAGACTAGTTAAAAATGTAATAAAATTAGCTACAGTTGGTTTCATTGAATCTATATTTTGTTGATGACAGAAATAAAACCATTTATTTAAATATGTTGTGTATGTCTTTTTTGTTGATTTTCTCCATGATTTTAAAATAATGTCTATTGACTCGTCAGGAATATTCCGTTTCTTTAAGTTTTCCCGATACGTAAAAAGCCCCTAGTTTCATCTTTGTAAGTAGATGACGTTGTTCCGGTTTGCGATGAAGAGGTAGGATTTGGCGTACTGGTGGAAGTTGGACCCATGGTTTGACTGTCATGCCTACTAATATTGGCCACCAATTTTGTGTTTCCCACACTGGTGCTATTATGATTGCTGTTCCTCTGTCTTGTTTTAGCTTTTGTAAAATTTTCAACAACAAACTGAAAGGTGGAAAAATATAATAGCATCCGTTACTCCATTTTAAAGAAAATGCATCAATGGCATAAGCATCAATGTCTGGATAGCGAGAAACATATTTTAGAACTTTTGCATTTAAACGGGAAGCAAAGAGATCAATGTCTACATGTTCAAACTGATTTTGAATATCTTCAAAGACCTTGTTATTTAATGACCATTCTGCGTCATCATTAAATTTCCTTGATAATTTATCAGCTGTGGTGTTTTCAACACCTGGAATATGTGCTGCTGATAAATGAATTGAATGTGTAAAACACCATTTCCAAATTTCACGTGCTATAAGGTTTAATTCGGATTTTCTGCCCCCAAATTTATTTATATATGCACATGCTGTGGTATTATCAGTCATTATTCGAATGTGTATATTGTATCTATCATTACATAATGACATCAAAGCCAATTTGCAAGCTTTAAGTTCTAGGATATTAATGTGTAATGACTGTTCACTATCCGACCACAACCCATGCGTGACAATGTTTCCTTCTTTAATATTAGCACCCCAGCCATATGAAGAACTATCTGTAAAAAGTGTGACAGATGGATCAGGAAGAAGAATAGGCCGATAACAGATGTCAATGTTTAAAATCCACCATGTAAGAATTTCTCGAATGTTTCCATCAATACGCATAAATGCATCAAATTTCCCTTTTTTCCAATTCAAATTTTTTATTTTTATTTTCTCCAGTGGTTTGTAATAAAAAGGTGCATATGGAGGAATACCTGGCTCACTTGCTACTAACAACCCTATGAGCTTAGCAAAGGAACGTATTGTCACAAATTTTCTGTCACGAATTTCACTACAAAAAGATTTAATGTTATCAGTTTTTTCCCTGGTGAGTCGCACGGTCATAGTGTCAGAGCAAAGTAAAAGACCCAAAAAAAGTCATTTGTTTAGATGGAACCAAAACAGATTTAGCAGTATTGACAGTTAAGCCTAGTTTATCAAACAAAGTCACAGTTTGTTGTACATTTTCTAAGCATTTTTCAAATGTTTCCCCTTGTAAGTATGAATCATCAATATATGAGACACTGGTTAAATTTTTCTTCCTCAATTCAGCAAAAACTGGTTTCAATAGCTTAGTCCAAGTACGAGGAGCTGTTGCTAAACCCATTACCAACACCTTAAATTGATATTTGATACCATGACAAAGATCTGAAATACTTCCGATCATTTTTTGTAATAGGGACTGAATAATATGCCTCAGATAAGTCAACTGATCCCATCCAACATCCAGGATGCATTGCATTAATGGCATGTTGTAAAGTTTCCATTTTAAAATGAAATTTTTTCATGTGTTGATTGAACTGTTTGAGGTTTAAGATGATTCTAATTTTCTGATCTTTTTTCAGTCTAAAAAATATATTGCTGATGTATTCGTCAGGATTTGAATCTAAAGGTGCATGTTCTATAATGCCAAGATTCATAAAACGTAATAATTCTTCTTTAATTTTAAGGTTTTCCTCAGAGGTAAATTTAATTAGACTTGGAACATACAATTGATGTGGTTTGGTTTCTAATTCTACTGAATAGCCACATACTGTCTTCAAGATCCATCTGTCGTTGGTAATATTTCTCCATTCATTAATGCAATTTCTTGTTTTTCCCCCATGAAAGTTTTCAGGTGTATTCATCAAGTTAAATTGCTGGGGTACATAGATTGTGGACTTACTGTAGATTTAATTAATTGCGGTTTTGAAATTTTCTGGAGTAATTTGGATTTTTGTTGAAAGGCTTCCAGCCTTGACCATGTGGACCTTGCTTTCTTGGTTTTTGGGGACGGAAGGTCTGATATTGTTGTTTGTTTGACAGTCTGTGTTTTCTGGGCCTGTCGCCCAGTCTCTTCCCTAAAAAAGAGGTTGATGGTGCTGATGTTGATGGTGTTGCTGCTTTTGCAGTAAATTTCACGCTCTTGTTGCTGTCGAGGGTCTTCACCTTTTCACTAAATTCATTCCCAAATAATAAGTCGCTTCCAACTGGGTTTCCACTGTCACATAGTGGCTTAAACTTTCCTTACATTTCCTTCTTAATATTGTCTTTCCTTTGGCTATTGATGTTGTTGATATGATGAGCCATCAACTTGAAGGAATCTCCTACATATTCTGATATCTTGTTAACATCTGGTTGTTTTGCTTTACTAAGCTCTTCCATGGCATGGATTGTGGGTAATAACAATTGGTTTAGTAGACCAATAGTTTTCTGTTTAGACGCATCATCTAATTTTGTATCATTTCTAAGCTGCTCCCAGACTGTGTTCTCCACCCTCGGAATTTGTAAATTCTCCAGGTTTTCTGGTCTCTTGTATTTCTCTGTAAGTGCTTTCATTTTTTCCTTATCAGTAGGAGCTCTCAATGCCTTATTTACGACTATTGCCAATTTTTCCCCAACTGGCTCCCCTGTCTTGTGATCTTCCGCAAAACTTTGTTCTACTTCGCTCAATATTCCAATGTTACTTTCACTTTCATCGTTACCCATTAGGAGGTCAGTGACTTCATAGTTGTCTCCACTGGGAAGGCTATTTTCATCCTCACTGTCTGAATTTTCGTCATTATCAGAACTTGTTTGGGATGTAGCTACGTCTTGTCTAAATTTTTTCCTACTATTGTGGTTGTCATCATCAGATTTTCTCTTAAGTTCTGACACTGTTTCTTCTATTTTCTTTAATTTGTTAGTCTGTGCTTCAAACGTCTTGATTGACATTGAAAATGTGTTCAATATTTCTTCCTCTCTCTTAATGAACTTTTCCATTTTTGACTCATCCTTTTCAGCAGCCATTTGAACTGCAAATAGAATTGGTTAGAAAACCATTATCATAGGTGTAGAGCAGATCTACTTAAAAACGATTCACGTTTTTTTTTTTTTTTTTTTTTTTTTTCCGAACGATTCACGTTCTGAATATTATTATTTTACTCTTAAAATGTAGCAGAAATCTATGTCTAAGATTATAATCAATGCTGAAATTGATAAATGATTAGCTACGAACGTAAACATTCTAACAAAGTTGGGTAGATAATTGACGACCAACATTCTATCATGTTGGGCCTTAAAAATTAAGGCCGGCAATAGAAATCCCTCACAAATAGCGTGGGTTCTGTGCGCTATAATATCAGACCCCGGAATCGTAAATGAAAACGAGGCTAGAAATGGTATTCCCCAATCAGACATTGGAATCAAACATGAAAATGAGGCTAGAGATGGTATTCCCCAGTTTAAAATGAGGCTTCAGCCGCACTATTACGTAACTGTGGGGATTCCCTTTCAGTGACATAATTTTAACCTCCTTGTAAACAAATGCCTTGAATGCATAAATTGTTGCTAGCATTTTGTTTGTACATTAGTGACATAATACACAGAAACTTTATGTGAAATAATAATTTCTTGCACAAAACAATTCTAATGAGAATTGGGTCAAGTTTCCGCAGCCATATTCAATGAACTGCCGATGTGCACAGGTAGCATTGGGATACCGTATTATTGGTTTTCGTACGTAAGTAACATTTATAACAGGATTGCAATATATTTATTTCCAACACCGTTAATCATTCAGATCACGGTTGTAGCCGTTCAGGCCGGAAATATACAAACCGTTCAGATTTGTTTTCGTTTACCTGAGAACTCGCCAACTTCCGAAAGTTTAATGGCGTAACTTAGGCCTACTGATAAGCATGGCCATGTGGAATATTTTAATTATTTTAGAATTAGTTCACTTACCAAACTTTTGTGTGTGTTTTCTGTTCAAGCTAATAACTTCCGTTCGTTGTCAGGTAATAGGTAAAAGAATTCTTTGTATATTAATATGTAAATAGAGATGACGTAGCTCATTACTTATGCAGATTCAGTCTTTAGAGTCCTAGTGTCTAGTTTTGTTGCAATGACACAAAACTAGACATGAAAAAGCGCGTGTACAGAGAAATCAAATTTTGGGTATGGGTGGGTGGGTGTGTGAGCCCTTCAGGAGTTTGCAGTCAATAAAATCCAGATCAAACTTCAACTTCCCTCCTTCGTCGGTAAGTCTTGTTTAATCATTCAATTTTATTGACTGCATAACTCCTGATAGGGCCCCACAGAGATTTTAGAGATATTTCTCTGTTAAAGCTTCAAGTTTTTGTAAAATAAATGATTTTACAAATAACTTCAATATGGTGTTATACTTGTATTTGAAATAATAATTTTTTGAAATCCTGTACATGTAAAGTATAACACTGAATATAAGGCAAAGCACATTTTAAAATTATGACAATCAATTTACTAATCCAGTAAGCACATTTGCATAGTATGATCTTCCACAATCTGTTCATTATAAAATTTATTAAATGTTCTAGCATTTTGCCAGCCTGCAGTTTTAAGTATACAAGAAAGAGGAATGCCTCTAGAGTTTGCAGAACTTGCTGCTGCTGTCCTTATACTATGGGGGGTATAATGCTCTAGTACCCCAGCCTTATTCAAAAACATTCTTATCCACCTAGCAACAGTTGACTTAGTTACAGATTTGTGGGGTTTTTGTGTCCCAATCAAAAGTTTATTATGCATTCTTAGACTTTTCTTCCTTTCAATATATTCCTTGAATACTGTAACTATGCACAACCTTTGGTCTGCTGAATATTCGTTTAGATGTAATGGTGCGGGGTGTCTGCCTGGCTTAGACTGTTTTAACATATGATTAAGTTTAATGATCATTTTATTATCTACAAATATGATATCTTCTAAACAAATTAAATGTAATGTTTGGCAGCGTTGTGCTGTTAGTAATAAAAACAATACTGCCAATTTTCCTGTTAATGTCATCAATGTCAACTCTGATGGTAACTGTTTAATAAAATCTAGAACTGACTGAACATCCCATATATGGTTATATTTTGGTAAAGCAGGTCCGTCCGGCCGTCCGTCCGTCCGGCTGTCCGTCGGTTTTTTCTTGTCCGCCCAATAACTTAAGATTCCTTTGACCCTTAGTCTTCATATTTGGCATGGAGGTTAGTCATGATTAGTAGATGACCCCTATTGATTTTGAGGTCACTAGGTCAAAGGTCAAGGTCACAGGGGCCTTGACTTCAAAAAGCTTGTCCGCCCAATAACTTAAGATTCCTTTGACCTACAGTCGTCATATTTGGCATGGAGGTTAGTCATGATTAGTAGATGACCCCTATTGATTTTGAGGTCACCAGGTCAAGGTCACAGGGGCCTTGACTTCAAAAAGCTTGTCTGCCCAATAACTTAAGATTCCTTTGACCCTAAGTCTTCATATTTGGCATTGAAGTTAGTCATGATTAGTAGATGACCCCTATTGACTTTGAGGTCACCAGGTCAAAGGTCAAGGTCACAGGGGCCTTGACTTCAAAAAGCTTGTCCGCCCAATAACTTAAGATTCCTTTGACCAACAGTCTTCATATTTGGCATAGAGGTTAGTCATGATCAGTAGATGACCCCTATTGATTTTGAGGTCACCAGGTCAAAGGTCAAGGTCACAGGGGCCTTGACTTCGAAAAGCTTGTCCACCCAATTACTTAAGATTCCTTTGACCCACAGTCTTCATATTTGGAATGGAGGTTAGTCATGATTAGTAGATGACCCCTATTGATTTTGAGGTCACCAGGTCAAAGGTCAAGGTCACAGGGACTTTGACTTCAAAAAGTTTCTCCACCCATTAACTTAAGCTTCCTTTGACCCACAGTCTTCATATTTGGCATGGATGTTGATCATGATTAGTAGATGACCCCTTTTGATTTTGAGGGCACTGGATCAAAGGTCAAGGTCATAGGGACTTTGACTTCAAAAAGTTTGTCCACCCATTAACTTAAGATTCCTTTGACCAACAGTCTTCATATTTGGCATGGATGTTGATCATGACTATAAGGTGACCCCTATTGATTTTGAGGTCACTGGGTCAAAGGTCAAGGTCACAGGGACCTTGACAAAAAAAAAGCTTTTCTTCTCAATGGCTAAAGAATGTCCTGTCCGCAATGTATTGATTTTGACATTTTCACATTTGAAGCATGTAGAATACATAACTTTGCAATGCACTGGCTTAGTAACCTCAGATTTGACAGGGAGGTTGTCCTTGAGCTCTAAATGGCCACTGTTGATTCTGACAAAGTGGTATGCGGGGGTATTCACGCCATGATAGTGGCAGTTCTAGTTCAAACACACCCTTCATAAATTTATTTATTACAGTACAACACTTAAAATCCAGTCCCGAACACATGTGAACTAACTGATTAATAGCTGATCTCGCTGTATTAATGGCACTGTATCCCAGACCTGAATTATACATATAGGTTAAAAATGTTATCACATTAGCAGGTTTAGGCGCCAGTGGATTAAAATTATTCTTATCAGTAAACTTAATCCAGCGGTTAATATAAACAGCATATATCTTTTTGGTAGATTTGCGCCATGATGACATTATGATATTTGCTGACTCGTCCACGATGTTTTGCTTTCGTAATGCGTCCCTGATATACGAAAAACACCTAGTCTCAGATGTTTCAGCGGATGTTTGTGCTCCGGTTTGTGCTGCAGTCGCAAGATTTTTCTGGCCGGAGGAAGTATTAGCCAATTCTGGCACAACATTTTTTGTAGATAAGGCCACCAATTCTGCGTTTTCCATATTGGTGCCACCAAGAGAGCCTCTGCCCTGTCTGTCTCTACCTTCTGCAAGATCTTTGGAATGAGACTGAAAGGAGGAAACATGTAAAGTAAAGTTCCAGTATTCCAGTTTAAACTGAAAGCATCAACAGCATAAGCCCCATGTTCTGGATATCTTGAAATATAATATTTTAGTTTGGCATTCAGCCGTGATGCAAACATATCAATGTGCATATTTCCATAAAAACTTATAAGTTTAGAAAAGATATATTCTTCAAGAGACCACTCTAGGTCATCTTTATATTTTCTAGATAATGTATCTGCTTCTATATTTTTGCTACCCGGAATATGAGCCGCACTTATGTGGATTTGCTTAGAAATGGCCCAAAACCAGAGTTCTCTTGCAATTTCGTTCAATTGCTTTATTTTGCCCCCAAACTTATTGATGTAAGCACAAGTTGTCGTATTGTCACTTAAAATCCTTAAATGAATGTTTGACTTGTTTTTGGCTAATGCCATCACTGCTAGTTTACTTGCTTTTAATTCTAAAACATTAATGTGTAAAGCTTGTTCTTCAATTGACCAAACTCCCTGAGTGAAGGATTTTTCAGATAGTATTTCCGCGCCCCAGCCTTGCAAGCTGCTATCACATGCTATTGTACAGTCTGGATTTCCTTCAGAGACTGGTTTGAAAGTTGTATCTAAATTTTTTATCCACCAATCAATTTGATTTTGAATTTCGTGAGTTATTTTCATAAAAGCATTGTAATTTCCTCTTTTCCAATTAAGATTAGTTTCCTTAATGTGTTCTAAAGGTCTATAAAATAAAGGCGCATATCGAACACCAGGCTCACATGCTACAAGCATACCTATTAATTTTGCAAATTCTCTGATGGTCACAAATTTAGATGATTTAATATCTCGGCATATTTGAATGATATTTAAAAGTTTTTCCTGAGTTGGTCTTATTAGTCCCCTACCGGTTTACCGGAGTGGACTTTAGGTTTACCCTCCGTCCGTCTGTCCGTCCGTCAGTCCGTCTGTCCGTCCGTCTGTCCGTCCGTCAGTCCGTCCGTCCACAAAACTGGATCCCGCGATAACGCAAAAAGTACTGAAAATATTTTAATGAAACTTGATATATGGATAGATGGCAGTATGGAGATTATGCACGTCTTTTTCTTTTCTTCCTATGTTGAAAATTCTGGTTGCTATGGCAACAAATAGACTGAAAATATGGCAAATTTTACACATAACCTGGATCCCGCGATAACACAAAAAGTACTGAAAATATTTTTATGAAACTTGATATATGGATAGATGGCAGTATGGAGATTATGCACGTCTTTTTCTTTTCTTCCTATGTTGAAAATTCTGGTTGCTATGGCAATAAATAGACTGAAAATATGGCAAATTTTACACATAACCTGGATCCATTGATAACACAAAAAGTACTGAAAATATGTTTATGAAACTTGACATATGGGTAGATGGCAGTATGGAAATTATGCGCATCCTTTTCTTATCTTCCTATGTTGAAAATTCTGGTTGCTATGGCAACAAATAGACTGAAATTCAAGATTTCTGATTCTAGTTTTTAAGTTTTTTCACTATAAGTTCTTTATTTCTTAAGGTATTTTCTTCAAACTTTAAATATAAGTTGCTTGTCATCAACCACATCATTATGACAAGGTTTACTACTCTAGCACAAAATTTATCAGAATTACCTCCCTTGAACTTAAAATTTTCATGAAAAAATCATTGTTTTCTTTAATAACTTCTTTTTCTGAATGTATCTACTTCAAACTTCATATAAATGTTTCTTATTGTCACTCAACATTTATGAGTGTTCAATACTCTAGCAAGACTATTTCCAGAATTATGCCCCTTTTTAACTTAAACTTTTTTTTGAGAAATTGGTAATTTTTACTCCAACTTCTTCAATCATGATAGGATTTTAAAAATGTTATATTTTGATAACAGGGATGTTTAAAAAATAACTTTAGAGTGTCCTTCAGTCCGTCTGTCTGTACATAAAAACTGTTTCCTGTGATCACTTTTAAAGAACTTTTTCAACAAATTTACTTAAAATAGGAAACTATTTAGTGAATGGCCAATGGCCCTTCAGAATGTTGCTTGGGCTCTTACCGGTAGGGGACTTATGGATTGCTTGCAATACTATGATAATTGCTTGTTGTCATTGTTTTGGAACAGAGAATAAATCCTACAAATGAAATTTGCTGAGTTGGCATTAAAACCGATTTCGCTGGATTGATTGTTAGTCCTAAACTATCCATCAAGCTGACTGTTTCTAAAATATTATTTTGACACTCTTCAAACGATTGACCTTGTAAACATGAGTCATCTATATATGCTGAACTTATGTGCCCCTTTTCTCTCAATGACACAAAAACTGGCTTTAAAACTTTTGTAAACACCCGGGGTGCTGTAGTTAGACCCATGACTAATGCTTGAAATTCATATTTTTGGCCATTGTAATAAAATCTAAAGTATCTTCTATCTTCTGCTACTATTGGAATAGAGTAATAACTTTCTGATAAATCCACAGAACCAAAGAAACAGTCTTTCCGCATTAAGTTTATTGCATTGTGTAAAGTTTCCATCTTAAAATGAATATGCTCTATGTGATTGTTAAATACTTTTAAGTTTAGGATAACTCTTATCTTCCCCTCTTTCTTTGGTCTTATGAAAATGTTTGAGATAAACTCATTTGAATCTTGTAGAGAATTAACTTTCTGAATTATACCACAATCTAAAAACCGAATAAGTTCTTTTTCTATTTTATTATTATCTACCGAACTGAATTTTATTTGGTTAGGCACAAAAGTTTGAAATGGTTCTGTATCAAGTTCTACATGGTATCCAGTAATAGTTTGTAAAATCCATTTATCACTTGTTAATTTTTCCCATTCAGAAAGATAGTTTTTAGTTTTACCAGCTATGAAGTTGTCTATAGTATTTATTAAACAGTAAGATTGATTACCAATACTTACATGCTGATTTACATTGTTCTTTTCTTTTGGCCTGGGGGATATGTCCTTGTTTTCTTGAAATTCCCGAAGTTCTTTTCTGAATTTCTGTATTTTGTTACTGGCTGTTTCCAGTGACTGTGTGATGTTGACTGTGAATGAGAGGGAGGGAATTGTTTCTGTGTCTGTGGCCTTTGATCTGATGGTCTTTCCCCCCCTCGTTTGAATAAAAAATTCTTCTTATTTGATCCTTTAGGGGTCATCTGTACTGATTTAGATGAATCCAGATTTTTACTTTTATCAGCCAAATTATCACCAAATAACCCTGTGGCTGATATCGGTTGATCATCTGTGCAAAGAGATTTAAATCTGGGGAAAACTTCTTTTTTGATGGCCTCTCTTTTTTGCGTGTTAATTTTATTAACTTCTCCCGTCATGATCTTAACCGCATCACTGATGTATGTTTTTAATGTGTTGTTGTCTGGCGTTTTATTCCCAACTATATGATCCATTGCTCGAAGCAGGGGCACCATTGATTGGTTCAGCACCCCAAGCATTTTTTGCTAGTGGACATCTTGGGATTTTGTATGCCCTTTCAGCTGCTCCCAAAGAAAATTGTCTACCCTTGGTATTTGCAAATTGTCTATATTGGCAGGTCTTTTGTATTTATCTAGGAGTTGTTTAATTTTTCCTGGTCAGTTTTTTGGCACCTCAGGCTTTTGTTTATGGCTTCAGCTAGTGCAACATGTTTAATATCATCCCCACATGTAGATTCTTCATCAAAAAATGAATCTATGTCTTGTACCATATCCTCCTCGTCCTCATTTGAACTATCTTCTCTACTATCATTTAAAACTCTTTCTAGCTCATCCCCAGTATCGCTCTCATCTTCTGATGAAACATTTTCTGTTCTTGTTTTCTTTTTTGGTGGTACTTGATCATTTGTTCCCGAAGTGGATGCTGTTGGTTCTTTCCTTTTTAAATTCAATTCTGTCTGAATTTCGCTGACCGTATTCAAAAGTTCTTCCATTTGCTTTGCATGGACCTCGAAACCTTTGATTGACTGAGAGAAAGTATTTAAAATGTCTTCTCCCCGTTTTAAGAAACTTTCCAATCTATTTTCCTGTTTACTTCCGCCCTCGCGTTGTGTATTGCCTAGTGAATCATTTCCACCCAAGCGTAGGGCATGCGCACTCAAGCGTGCGTCATTTCCGCCCAAACTAACATGGCCCTCGGCCTTTTCTTTGTCTGCCATTGACCCAAATCTAAAATCAATAAATAAATAAAGGGTCAGACAGTTTTAACGTTCACGAAACGAAATCATCCGTTCCGAAGTTGAATAAGTACGTTTTTTGGCAATAATAACTAGAAATTTAAAATATTGCCGAAGAATGTTTTTAAAAGAAATCATCAAATTGTCGGGAACTTCCTGACGCCGATGCACGGCAATTTTTTGGTCATTCAGACCTAATGTTTGTGCCCTTCAGGCTGTAAAAAGTTTACTATCCTCTGATAGCAACCAACGTTATGTTAGAATTATTTCCCGAAGAATATTACCTTGTTTGTTCGTTTTTTATTATTTTCTTAGCATCGGCCAATTTCGTGCATAAAATTCAATATGACAAAGGCCGGAAATAAATCAATAAACATCATGAAATCGCTTACCTTTTTTGGCAGGTTTATCCAATTTAAATAATTACTATACGATTTAACACTTTCCTTTATAATAATTTTGTATTTAAAAGTTCGTAAATGATTGAAATTTATCTTTTTAATCGGACCCTAATTTTTGCAACCGTTCACTACATAAGTCAAAGCCTCGTTCTGAATCTGCATAAGTAATGAGCTACGTCATCTCTGTGGGGCCCTATCAGGAGTTATGCAGTCAATAAAATATGTAAATTAACTTTATTATTCGAGCTCTAAATTAAAACTGTCGATTACTCGGAATGTGGAACCTCGTTCTGAGGTTACTTAGGCCCAGGAACTACGTCATCTCTGTGCATCCCATCCAGGAGTTATGCATGAGACAAAATTACAGGTACATGTACATTGTAAGAGCAGTGTTTATAAATAACCTATATCTAAGAAGAAAATGCCTAAATTGACAGCTATATAGCTATACAGCTATATACTATAAATAGTTTCTACTTTACACTTAAGATAATTGTTTCTATTAATAGTTTCTACTTTACACTTAAGATAATTGTTCTTAAAATGTCACCACTCACATTATGTATGACATCCGTTGTATGAACATAATACTTCTTTACTAGGCAAAGAAACTTAATATGCTACAAATAATAAAACAGACAAATTATAACTAGAACTGAAAGAGTTTAGTTCATTCATGTCTTCCACAATGACATAATTAAATGGTCATGCCACGACCAAACCAACATAATGGGTTTGTGATCAGCATGGATCCAGAACAGCCTGCGCATCCGCGCAGTCTGGTCAGGATCCATGCTGTTCGCTTACAAACCCTATTACAAGTGGAGAAACTCAGATTATGAGCGAACAGCATGGATCCTGATCAGACTGCCCGGATGTGCAGGCTGGTCTGGATCTGTGCTGGATGCAACCCCATTATGTTGGTTTTGTCATGACGCGGCTCAATTGGTCACGGCCTTTCAGAATGTTCCTGACACAATTCATGTGGGCTTCTGACCATTAGTTGACTTTTGTTTTCCTGGCAATACTTTGATAATTTCTTGTCCTTCATAATAGACTCAGCTTTCTCTACATTTTTGTTTTGCTATTTCAAGAAACATTTAAGGATTTCAGTTATCATTTGTTAATATACTGTGATTACAGTTTTATTGAATGAAAAAAAAATATTAATTTAGGGAAGTATATTTTATTTATAATATTTACTGAAAGCAATTTGAATTTTTTCGAACAAATATCATTGTTTGTCATTTACATGTAAATGAAGTTTGTAAAGATTTTCCTTTTCTGTAATAAAGATCAAATAGGTGGTACTACACATGTATTGACATGTATGCCATGGTTGTTGCTGCCGTTCCTTCATCAAGTGAACAGCGTCTAACGGAGGCATGGGTTATGAAAGCTAGCAGTCAGGATGTTTATATTGACTCTCTTTTCATCGGACGTGGCCCAACAACTGATGATACAGGTAAATAAAATAATATAAATATACTTACCTGGTATTTGATGTGATTTTTTTGTGGCCTTGGGGGGGGGGGGTGGGTTCATCGACTCATGGAAATTATCATAGAGAGGATTTTTTTGTTGCCAGGGGATGGGGGATTAAATGTTGGGGAAATTATCATTAAAAGGATTTTTTTTGTGGTCATGGGGGAAGGGGGCTGAATTGGATGGTAGGGAAATTATCATTAAAAGGCTTGAAAAAATGTTGGACGTTATAAACAAAATTCAGCCTTTTTTTTGGCTCAAAAAATGAAAATTTTGGTTTTATGTTGCCTTAATAGCAGAGTTTACATAATTATTCTTTGATTGATTTAAACCTACTTTTTCTTTTATAAATACCTGTATGTGTTTTTATACAAACATAAACGATTTTCTATGAATAAGATGTACATGCAAGTGAAATTTTAAGTTATCTTGCAAATGTTAATATAGAGATTCATATTATACACAAACTGGTAAATGTAAAAATTTCAGTGGTAAATGTTTTGATTTGCTTTATATTTTAGAGGCATATTTACAAAGATTGAAACCAGCTTTGCCAAAAATCAATGTCGTTGGCAGGAATCCTTTGTCTTTTGTGCATTATGTATCTGTTGCTACAGTTTCTGCTGACACATATAAAATAAATCTTACACCATTGGACATGGGCTTCAACTTCCCGCTGTTTGAACTTGCAAATGCAGGAGTGAGTATGATCATTATCATTGTCATTAAAACAACGTAAAGATGAATACAAAATAAAAACTTTACTGACCTAGCTAGCTGGTTAAGATTAAGTAGTAAAGTTAAATAATTATTTGGTTAAAGTAATTTTTGTCATTTCAATGTCAGGGCTTCCATGTATAATAAACTAATATTCACATAAACACCAATTTGCTATTTTGTAGCAGAAAAATTCAATGATAGATATGATATCATTTATCATTCAAGACATTTGTCATTTTGTTCTCAATTAATGTAAAATAAAATGATATCTTCTGTTTCATCTATAACAACGACTTCATAATTGCTGTTTTCATTGAAAAAGTTCAAATTGCTATGTAATTATCAGAAAGACTTCAATACTGTTCAAACTTGGTACAAAATTTCCTATTACCAGGACATCTCAAAATTGCCAAAAATCACTATTTGCGTTAATTTTTCCATCAAGACTGATTTCAAGGTGCTGCAACTTCTCAGTGGATTGAGATAGCGTCTAAGGCTTTCCAGCATTGGTTACACATTACCTTATGATCGACCAGAGGCCATTTTTAGCCTCTTACAATTCAAAAATTTTCTTGGACATGAGGGGGTCTGCAGAAGGGGCGCACATCCCCCCTCTGGCACCCCCTTGGTGAAAATATCTGAAAGGGGATGACATTGAAAAAGTGATTACCTTTTTTAACATCATTTCTCAAACGAGTCCAAGTGTTGAGGCCCGAATAGGGCATTTTTTCACTATTTAAGGCCTCAAAAAGGGTGGGGGGAGCCTTCAAAACAGGCATATGAAATAATTGGTTAATTTAATAATGATTATGTAATGTTCGTAGAGGGTTTAAGTATCTTCATTATCAAATTTTGTAATAAACACTGTTACACATTCTGTAAAAAGCTTAACAGAAATTTATTTTTTGGGTATATTGCAATCAGGATCATTCTTTCTTGAATTTCATTTAATTTACATTATTATTATTTATGTTTTATGGCAAAGTCATAGTCCTCCATTTTGAAAATATTTAAGGTAGTCTTACTGTAATGCTTTGAATTCCCACCAAAAATAGGCTAACATCTGCCAATGTCTTAATAAATCGGTCTTCTTTTCTGGATTGTTATTTTTCACAATTTTTCGGTATTCAGTAATTAATCTTAAACCATTTGTAACCTGAATTTGATTAAGAACATATCTATAAGAAATGAGCGATTGTAAATAATCTATTTACCCAAGATTTTGGAAAAATAACATTCAGGAAATAACCAATTTGCTACAATATTGGCAGCTATGAGAATTTTTTGGAAGGAAAGCATTATAGTATGACTTACATAATTATATCTTAATAGCTGACAAAAAAAGTTTGTCTGAACAAACAGTACTAAATTTTCTGATTAGCCCAATTTGCCTTGGCTTTATACATTGCTTATTGAAATTGCTTTATAAACATATAATTGTTGTTTTATTCATTCATGAAATTACAACCTTTCTTACATAGGAATATCATTTTTTGCATTAAAGGAGCTCATATGAGGTCGAAAGGCCTAAAACCATAAAATTTGAAATTGACCAAGAGATGCTCTTATAATGGAAAAAAACTGCAAAAGATAATGAAGAAAATGTTAAATTTGAAAACAATTTTTTTCACAAAAGCAAAGCAATGCTATTTATTTTTGGTCATTCTGCACAGTAGAAAAATAAATGATTATTTTGGGGGAAATTTGTTGAGGGAATTATCTGAAAATTTGCTCACAAGTTATTCCTCCAGACTGACACTAAATGGTACCCATTCCTAAAAAATTATTTCCAGCCCCTTCATGTCAAAATTTTTCAGTCAAGTCCCTTAACATTAACATAAAAATGACATTACTTATTATACCCCCAAAAACGAAGTTTGTGGGGTATATAGGAGTCACCCGGTGGTCGGTCGGTCGGTCCAGACGTCCGTTGCATTTTCCTTGTCCGGAGCATAACTTGAAGACTAATGGTTGGAATTCAATATAACTATATACAATGGTCAAGCACATTGAGAGGAAGTGCAGTGCACAAGAACCATAACTCTATCTTGACTAATTACAGAGTTATTGCCCTTTGTTACTTTTCCTTGTCCGGGGCATAACTTGAAAACTACTGGTTGGAATTCAAAACAGCTTCATTCAATTGTCAAACACAATAAGGGGAAGTGCAGTGCACAAGAACCATAACTCTATCTGACTAATTACAGAGTTATTGCCCTTAGTTACCTTTCCATTGCTTTCTTTTGTTCTAACCATAACTTGAAGACTTATGGTTGGAATTCGATATAACTACATACAATGGTCAAGCACATTAAGAGGAAGTGCAGTGCACAAGAACCATAACTCTATGTTGACTTATTACAGAGATTAATACCCTTTGTTACTTTTCCTTGTCCACGGCATAACTTGAAAACTACTGGTTGGAATTTGAAACAACCTCATACAAATGTCAAACACAACAAGGGTAAGTGCAGTGCGTAAGAACCATAACTCTATCTAAAGTAATTATCTGACTAATTACAGAGTTATTGCCCTTTGTTACTTTTCCATTGCTTTCTTTTGTCTGGACCATAACTTGAAGACATTTGGTTTGAATTCAATATAACTACATACATTTGTCAAGTACTTTGAGAGAAAGTGCAGTGCATAAGAACCATAACTCTATCTTGACTAATTACAGAGTTATTGCCCTTTGTTACTTTTCCATTGCTTTTTTTGTCCAGAGCATAACTTGAAGTTTAATGGTTGGAATTCAATATAACTTCACACAATGGTCAAGCACATTAAGAGGAAGTGCAGTGCACAAGAACCATAACTCCATCTTGACTAATTACAGAGTCATTGCCCTTTGTTACTTTTCCTTGTCCAGAGCATAACTTGAAAACTACTGTTTGGAACTCAATACAACTTCATACATTTGTCAAGGACTTTAAAAGGAAGTGCAGTGCACAAGAGCCATAACTCCATTTTGACAAAATGCAGAGTTACTTCCCTTTGATACTTTTCCTTGTCCGGAGCATAACTTAAAACATACTGGTTGGAATTCAAAACAACTTCATACAATGGTCAAGCACTTTAAGAGGAAGTGCAGTGCACAAGAACTATAACTCCATCTTAAGTATTTATAGAGTTATTGCCCTTTGTTCCTTTTCTTTGTCTTTCTGTAATTCAATAAAACTTCATCAATGGCCAACCACATTGAAAGGAAATGCAACATACAAGAACCACAACTATCTTTAATTGCCCACAACCATAACTGTATATTTCAATTCTTTTACAAGGTATTCTGTTACTAGTAACATCCTCATTTCCGAAGCAGTGTTGTGGGAGTATTAATCACATTTAGTGATAGTTCTAGTTTTCTTTTATTATTACTGAACAGTGAACCGTATTATGATTATTTTATACTCTGATATTTTCATGTCATTTTGTCAGTACATAATCATAAAACAATCAGGATATAATCACAAATAATTATATCAGCCATTAAACTTTTTGTGCCCCCTTTTAGGGGGGGGGGGGGGGCATTTAGATTTACCCTTGTTTGTCCGTCCGTCCTTCTGTCTGTCGGTTCTCTTTTGTGTCGCACTAGCTAAAAAGTATGATACCAAGTGTCATGAAAATTAATAGAAATGTTGATCAGCAGGTGTAGTTGTGCACCTTGGTATTTCTGTGTGGATATATTTTGTATTTTTAGAGTTATTGCCCCTGACTTTGTAAAAATTTACAATTTTCGACTTGTGTCACATGTAGCTTGAAAAATATTTTACCTAGAGATATGAAACTTTACAGGAATGTTGATCAGCATGTGAAGTTGTGCACCTTGGTATTTTCATGTGGATATGTGTTGTATTTTTAGAGTTATTGCCCTTGACTTAGTAAAAATTTACAATGTTCAACTTGTGTCACACATAACTCAAAAAGTATTTGACCTAGTGTCATGAAACTTTATAGAAATGTTGATCAGCATGTGTAGCCGTGCACATGGGTATTTTAAATTTATTCTGTTTTGTCAGATTTATTGCCCTTGACTTAGTGAAAACTGGTTCATTATGTTGTGTTATTTGTTCCTCGAGTGCTTGAGTGCTTGAGTTAGAATTAACCAATTTTACAGGAGTGGCGGCATGGCCGAGTGGTTAACGCTTCGGACTAGTAATCTCATGATCGCTAGCCGCATGGGTTCAAACCCGGTCAGGGGCAAGTCGTTGATTCCTTGAGCAAGAAAATTTACACTCATTGCTCAGAACTGGTTGGTTCCAGGAACTGACTGAAATTGTGTCTATAAGCTTATAGCTTCCTACACAATCGAACTAAAATAAATTTTGTATAAACCAATTTTACAGGTATAATGATCAACAACGTCACTGTGAAGTTATGCACCTGGGGTTTTGCATGCGGATTTCTTTCAGTTTTGCTAGAGTTTTTGCTATGGATAAATTTGTAATTTTCAACTTGTTCATGCATAACTCAAAAAATATTTGACCTGTAGGTCTGAAAGTTTGCAAGAATGTTCATCAGCCATGTACTTATGCACCTTGGGATTTGCTTGTGGATTTATTCAGTATCTGTAAAGTTCTTGCCCTTAACTTAGTAAATGATTTTTAGCTCGACTATTCAATAAGAATAAGTAGAGCTATTGTAGTCACCCATTTTTGAAATAATTTAAATATTTTCAAAGTCCAGTGACATATGGCTTTGAAACTTTGCACACTTGTTCACCATCATTACTCCAACCTGTAGACAGGAGGAGGTAACTCTATCAAGCATTTTGACAGAATTATGCCCCTTTTACGACTTAGAATTTACGTTAAAGTTTTTGTAATACCTCAAATATTTTCAAATTCCATTGACATATGGCTTTGAAACTTTGCACACTTATTCACCATAATGACCCCAACATGTTAACAGGAGGAGGTAACTCTATCAAGCATTTTGACAGAATTATGCCCTTTTTTTTCAACTTAGAATTTACGTTAAAGTTTTTGTAATACCTCGAATATTTTCAAAATTCATTGACATAAGGCTTTGAAACATGTTGAAATTTTATACTCTTCTTTGAGAGCATAATAGGACTCTCTCCAAGGCCTATAACTGTAATATTGATTTAAAGAAAATATCTGCCTTTTTCTTTACTTAGAAAATTTTACTTTTTAATCAAGGCTTTTTTTCTATCAAGCACTAAGAATAGTCAAGCATTGCTGTCCTACCGACAGCTCTTGTTAGTTTTCAACTTGTGGCACATGCAGCCTAAAAAATATTTGACCTAAAGTCATAAGATTGACAAAAAAGTGGAGTGTGGGGGCACCCATGTCCTATGGACACATTTCTAGTTAATTATTGAATCATCCACTTCATTTCCGTTAAATGTCACTGAATCATTTACATTATCTTATGATAGTCAATACCTAATTACTGTACCTTACTACAAAGGTTACTTCAGGTGTGGCAAGTAGTTCTAGTACCAATGTGGCCATGGCCTTAGATAATGGTGGTGGATCTGGGGTTCTCATGGTGACCAGGATTTCACAGGCATCACCACCGGTGAATGGACTTGTTGAGTTGTCTCTTAATGGACTTGGGTTGCAGAAGGGTATAACTTTTCTCTCTGCATAGCTGCTTTAATTGAATCACTTATCAGTTAAGATTGATTAAATCTAAAAAAAACACATCATATTCTATTTATGATACATTATTATAGGAAATATGTTTAGAGTTTTATATTGAAATTTTGTATCATTTGTCGTCTTTGTGGGGTAAAAACCCAGTAAAATTAAACATGATTCAGAACATATAGAATGAGATATTTGATACTCTTTGTATTAAGGCTAGCAAAAAATATAAGAATCAGTATAACTATCCTTTTTGATAGAAAAATACTTGTAACATTGATGCACTCAAAACTTGATTCTATGGATGTAAAATTCTTCAATTTTTGATTCAATAGTTAAGCTAGGACATCATTTTCAAATAAAATAGAATAATCTGAAATTTAAAATTAAGTTGATTATTAAAACTTGTCCAATTTCAGATATAGAAATTTCTCAACCAGCAGCGAATTTCCAAAGGGAACTAGAGTCAATTCAAGGCATGGGATCTGTAAATGTAGTCAAGAAGGGTGATGGTGCAAACTTTGAATTGACTATTACATTTCTTTCACTACCAGGAGATCTTCCACCTATGACGGTAATGATTTGGAGTTAACCCGACCATTCCCCATTTGATATTATATTATGCATGAGGCCTCTAGTAGATATACATTTGTCCATACAGCAATTGGGGAAATTTTAGACTTGATTTTGTGTATTTTTTTTTTGTTATAACAAAATCACATTGTTTTTCAAATTTTCTAATAAAAATACCTTTTCTGATGCACAACATGTCACAAAGCTTTAAGGGATTAGAATAAACTGAAGTGATAGTGCCATGTTTGAATATCATATTCTTTTTATAATTATCTAATTTTATCTACATGATAAATAACATGCCATTATGAGCCAGTCTATAGTTGATTGTTCTTAAACTTAACCCTTAAGAGAGGTAAAAACTGTGGCAGTGTAACTCACTTCATTTGCTCTGCCTCTGTTGAAGTTCGGCTCTGCCTTATATTGTTGCCAAATTTAATATGATGCTCTGTATGCTGGCATATAGTCTTCATTGACAGGGTGGAAGGGAACCAGGACATTTTTGATCAATATCACTTTTCGAATCATTAAATTACAAGTTACAAAGCCTAAACCATGCCCACTATCTGAGAGGCGGCTCTCCCTCAACCTTTAAGAAAGTATGCCAAACTCTGTGCAACGGTTACGCTACAGCAAGTAAGAAGAGATCACTGCAGAACAGTTCGTCCTAAAAATCATTCCAACATTATGCAATTAGAATGAATATTTAAAGGACATATTCTCGGTACATAATGTCTTGAATTTATTTTAAGTATACCAATCATTTCAATTTTACTTGTTATCCATTTAATTTTGCTTCGACAAGACATTTCAATCTTTGCCGCAACAGGCAAACATTTCAGAATTTCAGACATGGCATTACTTAGATTTCAAAAAAGCGTATCTGTTCTATTAACAGTGTAGAGTTGATTGTAGTGGTATGATTAACTTCAACATGTCTTCATTTCTTAAAGTAAACTCAAACATATGCTAATTTTTACCATATTGCATCATTAGTTTTAGTGTTAAATTAAAGTTACGTGTTATATTGTTTCACAGTTACTTAGATAATAAGATCTGTCACACAAACTTTTGAGCTGCGTCACTACAAAACCAACATAATGGGTTTGCAACCAGCATGGATCCAGACCAGCCTGTGCATCCGCGCAGTCTGATCAGGATCCATGCTGTTTGCTTACAAACCCTATTACAAGTAGAGAAACTGATAGCGAACAGCATGGATCCTGATCAGACTGCGTGAATGCTCAGGCTGGTCTGGATCCATGCTGGTCACAAATGCACTATGTTGCTTTTGTCGTGACGCAGCTCATTTGTCTGTCATTTATTAGTGGTTTTCTGGATTTATAACATCATGAAATAATGAAAAGATTCTTCAACGACATGCAAACTTTTATAACATTGTCCTTAACTCGTTTTATATATCATATTAAGTTTTTATTAAATGAAAAATCATTTAAGTTTCGAACATGTAATGATATTGATGGTTATGTGGTCTTTGTACTGAAATTAAAAACTCAACTACGTGTGATGTTAGAAAATATATAGATATTTATGATGAGCACTGGAATGGATTGTCTGAATTATTCTAGGTTTTGTACGACCGTGTCCTAGGAAAAGATGTTCAAATAATTGTTGAAACAAAGGTAGACGGAGGCTTGTTCTATGATCCACTTACAGGCGATATGGTATCGACGGTGCACAGCTCGCCTCAGGTTAGACTTTTCATCAACGATATACCCACGGCTTGTACTGATGACTGCTCGTTCAACTGGGATTCATCCTCCACGCCAACTATTTCCGGTATCAGCCCACAATCAGGTGCAATTTCTCTTTCGATTTTTACCTTAAATAATCTTTTTAAATTTAACTTAATTATGCCACCCTTTGCAAAAGGGAGGGCATATTGCTTTGCTGCTGTTCGTTGATCCATCGGTCGGTCTGTATGTCTTGTCAGTCTGATTCCTGTTCATTTTCGTTGCAGAGGTTGCATGTTCTGAAATAAAATATGGTATACATATTTATCATAAAAATATCTAGCTTAATAAGATCTTTTTTGCTTACGGTAGAGTAATTTTTGCCAGAGAAATACCCCTATTCTTAGAAAAATTCCAGTTATTTGCAGTTTCCAATCATTTTCTTCGCAGACATTGCACATACTGAAATGAAGTTAAGTATACAGGTTTATCACAAGAATATCTAGCTAAAGTTCCTGTTTACTTACGATCGGGCAATTTTTGCCAGAGAAATGCCTTTTGGACTTAGTACAGTTGCAGCTCATTTTCTTTGCAGAGGTTGCACATACTGAAATGAAATTTAGTATACAGGTTTTATCATAAGTATATGTAGGTCCAGTTTCGTTTTAGGTACGATCAAGCAATTTTTTACAGAGCTATTTCCCTTTTACTTAAAAAAATACAACTTTTTGCAATTTTTGTTTATATTTGTCGCAGAGATTGCTCATTCTGAATGAAATTTGATATACAAATTTATCATTTCAATTTTTGGTACAATCAAGCAATTTTGACTGAGTTATGCCCCTTTGACTTAGAAAAAATTCCAGTTATTTGCAGTTTCTGTTTGTTTTCATTGCAAGGGTTACACATACAGAAATAAAACTTGGTATTTCACATTAAGTTTTGTTTTTGGTACATTAGAAATTTTTGGCAAAGTTATGACTTCGTTTTTTGATAATTTCTACAAGATGTTCTTTATTGATAAAAGCCTTTTTAGTCCCCTACCGGTTTACCGGAGGGGACTTAAGGTTTACCCTCCGTCCGTCTGTCCATACGTCAGTCAGTCCGCACTACCAAATAAGGATAGGGGGCCATCTAACTGTAAACAGAACAAAAGAGAACAATAGAGTTCATTCCGTAACAATAGAGTAAGGGGCCATTGGCCCTCTATTAAAAAATAGAAAATAACAAAAGAAATGGCCCCTTATTCCATTTCGGCCGGACGTTCGTCCGTCAGTCCACAAAACTGGATCCCGCGATAACGCAAAAAGTACTGAAAATATTTTTATGAAACTTGATACACGGATAGATGGCAGTATGGAGATTATGCACTTCTTTTTTTTTCTTCCTATGTTGAATATTCTGGTTGCTATGGCAACAAATAGACTGAAAATATGGCAAATTTTACACATAAACTGGATCCAGCGATAACGCCAAAAGTACTGAAAGTATTTTTATGAAACTTGATATATTGATAGATTGCAGTCTGGAGATTATGCACAACTTTTTTTTTTCTTCCTATGTTGAAAATTATGGTTGCTATGGCAACAAATAGTCTGAAAATATGGCAAATTTAACACATAAACTGGATCCAATGATAAAGTGAAAAGTACTGAAAATATTTTTATGACACTTAAAATATGGGTAGATGGCAGTCTGGAAATTATGCACATTTTTTTTCTTTACTTCCCTTTTTGAAAATCTGGTTGCTATGGCAACAAATACAATTTCAAGATTTCTGGTTCCGATTTTACGCTTTTTCACTATAATTTCTTTATTTCTTAAGGTATTACTTTAAACTTTAAATATAAATTTCTGGTCATCAACCACATCATATGTGACAAGGTTAACAACTCTAGCACAAAAATTATCAGAATTACCTCCCTTGAACTTAGAATTTTCATGAAAAAAATGTGCTTTTTTTAAACAACTTCTTTATTTCTTAATGTATTTGCTTCAAGCTTCATTTGTATGTTTCTTATTATCGCTCAACAAATGTGAGAAGGTTCAATACTCTAGCAAAACTATTTTCAGAATGATTGATGCCCCTTTTGAACTTTTTCGAGAAATTGGTATTTTTTACTTCCAACTTCTTCATTCCTCATACATTATGAGGTTACAATCACAAATTTCGCGGATGAAAATCTTTTTTACCCAATGAGAAATGTTCGGCTATTTCTGTAAAGCTTCGGATTATCATGAATATCATTTTAATCAATGAAAATGCTATTTTTAGCTATGTCAATTACCGAATACTCCAGAGCATAGTACACAAATAAATCTGACTGTCGAGTAGTGGAATATATACATGTCGGACTGTTTTGGCGAGAAGATTTTCGCTAAATTATTTTCATCAGTGTTAAACAACAGGTTTATCATGAACAAAATACCTCGAAATTAATAAAGATGGAAATTCTCAATTTAGAATTACATAATGTATTCGTTTTTATTCAAGGTACATACACTTAACGAAACTTATAAGTACTCCAATTTCAAACTTGCAGGAAAACTCCGGTTTTCAAAATACATGTATTTGATTTTTTTTACAATGGTGATCTCAGTTACTGATTTTCTGTTAAGTTTGAGTTATTGTAAAATGCATTTACTATTATAAAATGATGATACAATGATTAAATTTTATACAGTACCGACTAAGACTAGTTATAGTTATTCTAACACAATATAATAAAAAAAAATTGTCGGAGTATTTATAAGTTTCGTTAAGTTTATGTATTAATTCGCCGTGGTGCAGAGGTAAGCGGTCTGGTTGAGGGTGTGAGAGGCCTATAGTTCAAATCCTAGTCGAGGCAATTCTATTTTTTTTTCATGCAAAATATATATGTATCAATCTCAAACTGTTATAGAAGAAAATCAAAACGCTTTCGCTGCGTAATATGAATTATAGTATATAAAAATAAACTTATACAGGAAAGTCCATACAGATAGTCAGTATGATTTAGATTGAAAAGATCAGTAAATACCATAGATCTGCAACCCTTTGATTGATTCTTTTTCTTGCATATTACATGTCAATTTTTTGGAACAGAAATTATGAAAACTGATATTTTCATTATGCACTTTTTTCTTATAGTAGCGTATGAACTTACAACTTCATACATAACGGAAAAATGACGTCATCCTAAGAACGCGATTCATTCATAAAAGGCGTGCGTCAATGACGTCATTTAAAGCACGCGACTTGTCTTACACCCTGAGTTTTCTAGCATAGGTGTAAACGGTAGATAATCCTGTCTGAGATGCAAGAAAATTGAATGGCCAATGGCCCATAAGAATGTTGCTGGGGTTCTAACCGGTAGGGGACTTATGGATTGCTTGCAATACTATGATAATTGCTTGTTAATTTCAGGATCATCATCAATATCTACGACTGCTTTTATTACTGGGACAGGATTCAGTACTGTCATAAGCAATAACCAGGTGATAATAGGAGGAGTTGAATGTACAGTAACTGGTTCATTGGCGACTATTATCACGTGCGATGTCGGTAACGGGCCAGTGGGACCACATTCTGTAGTCGTGACAGTTGATGGTAAAGGTAACCCTGAAGGTAGCGTTCAGTTTACTTACACAGCAGGTATATCATCATTGGCCCCTACGTCAGGAAGTCTTGGAGGTAAGTCAATATCACCATCAATTAAGCATTAAACTAACTAATGTGCAAACATGTGTTATCCATATGAATATGTGTTGCTCATCTCAAATGAAGTACTAGACAAATATAAATGAGGCATGATGCGAGATAACTGGTCCTAATGACATTTTTTTCGAAATTTTTGTTTTTTAACTCATTATTGTAGATAATATATGAATTATGAAAGCAAAATTCAATACAAGACAATGTTAACTCTTTCACTGCCATAGGGACGGCTTAAGCCGTCCCTGTTATTTTCGGCGTATTTGCCATATGGACGGCTTAAGCCATTTCTATAATAATAATAGTAATAATAATAAATTATTAATAATAATAATAAAAATAATAATAAATATAAAGAAAATTATACCATCGACAATAATTATTATTATACTAACAGACTTGGAAACATATATAGTTATTATAATACATATAACAAATAATAATAATTATATTAATTAATAACATTTAATTTCTTAGAAAATCCTCTGGCAAATAGGTGAACAATAAAACAATAACCCTCTGGCAGCGAAAGGGTTAATTTATTTTCCCCACCTTTTCGAAGAAAAAGGGGGATAGAAAAATAGGCTTTGTCCATCCGTCCGTCCTTCACACTTTTGTGTCTGGTCCATAACTTTGTCATTTATCAAAGGAATCTGAAATGACTTAGCACAAATGTTTGTTATAATAAAACGATGTGTCATGGACTACAACCAGATGCCTACCTCCAGGGTCTAGGTCGCACTTGCTAATTCAAGGTCAACTTTGCCTATTTGAGGGTGTATGTCCTGTCTGGTCCATAACTTCCTTATCTTTGGAGGGATTTTGTAAAAACTTGCCACAATTGTTCACAATAATGAGACGATGTTTCATGCGCAACAACCAGTCACCTACCGTCAAGGTCACACTTGGAGGTCAAAGAATAACACAGTCTGTTACAGGGTATATTTTGTGTCTGGTCCATAACTTTGTCATTTATCATAAGAATCTGAAATAACTTGGCACAAATGTATATTATAATAAGACCCTGAGTCATGAGCAAAACCAAACCCCTACCTTTAAAAGTTAAGGTCGCACTTTGCTCATTCAAGGTCAACATTGTCTATTTGAGGGTATATGTTGTGTCCGGTCCATAACTTCCTTATCTTTGAAGGGATTTTGTAAATACTTGCCACAATTGTTGTCAATAATAATACGATGTGTTATGCGCAACAACCGGTCACCTACCGTCAAGGTCACACTTTGAGGTCAAAAATTAACATTGTCTGTTACAGGGTATATTTTGTGTCCGGTCCATAACTTTTTCATAGATCAAAAGAATTTGTAAATACTTGCCACAAATAGTCACTATAATAAGAGGATGTGTCAAATGCACCACCTGCATCCATACCTCCTAGCTCAAGGTCATCTTAGAGGTCAAAAATTAACATAGCCTGTTTTAGGGTATACTTTGTGTCCAATCTAGAACTTCTTCATGTTTTGACATAACTTGGCAAAAATTGTTACAATAATAATAGGATATGTCAAGGACAACACCGGCAACCCTACCTCCACACTTAGAGGTCAAAGGTTAACAGATGCTGTTATATGGTTTATTTTGTGTCCCGTATATAACTTCTTCACAGATCAAGTGATTTTGAATATATTTGGCACAAATTTGCCAATGATAAGATGATATGTCATGTGTAATAGCTGTGTCCCTACCTCAAAGGTCAAGGTCACACTTAGAGGTCAAAGATTTACATAGTCTGTTATAGGGTATATTTTGTGTCCAGTCCTTATTTTTTCATAGATCAGGGGCTTTTAAAAATACTTTGCACAAATTAATCACAATAATAAGACCATATGTCATGCGCAAAACATGGGTCCCTACCTCCAAGGTCACAATTAGAGGTCAATGATTAACATATTCTGTAATAGGGTATATTTTGTGTCTCATCAATAACTTCTTCATAGTTCAACGGATTTTGAAAAAACTTGGCACACATAGATACCATAATAAGATGATATGTCATGCACAACACCTTCAACCCTACCTGCAAGGTCAAAGTCACATTTTCATTCTTTAAAAAAATCATTTTTGAATTTGCAGATCTAGCATCAATCATAATTTTTGAACTGAAAGTCCTGAGAGCCATACCTCAATCTTTCGAAATGGCACATTTTTATGCTTCAAATTAAACTTCCCCGAGGCGGTGGACGTTGATAACTGAGACTGTTACAAATTCTTGTAAACTTATTGTTGCATTTGCAGATGAATCATTGATCATAATCTTTGACTGAAAGCCCTGAGATCCATACCTCAATCTTTTGAAATAGCACAAATTTATGCTCCATATAAAACTTTCCCAAGGCAGGGGATGTTGGTAACTCTGTTACAAATTCTTGTTCTATATAAAGGCACCACTCGGAGTTGCCATTTAGTTTATTCTTTTGCATATTGTTTACTGTAAGTATACTGTAGATTCTATAATGTAAATATCAGTGTGGTACTACCAACAATAAAAGATTATCAATGCTATGCCCTTATTATCATTTGTAAACATGCATAGATGTAATAAGATTTTATGCCCCCCTTTGGAGAAGAGGGGTAATATTGTTTTGCTAATGTTGGTCCATACGTAGACCACATGGTTTCCGCCAATTATCTTGAAAACTATCACAAAATCTTCATATTTCACATACTGTTTGGTCATAACTAGAAGATAACTTCTATTGATTTTGGAGTTACTAAGTCAAAGGTCAAGGTCACAGGGGCCTTAAATGTCATAATGGTTTCCGCTGATTATCTTAAAAATTATTTATCACAGTGTCTTCATGTTTCACATAGTGATTGGTCATTACTAGTAAATGACCACTAATCATTTTAGGGTCACTAGGTCAAAGGTAAAGGTCACCAGGCCTTGAATGGTAGCACAATTTCACCTGATTTTCTTGGTAACTATGCATCACACAGTTTTCATATTTGACATATTGAGTGGTTATAACTAATAGATAACCCCTATTGATTTGGGGTCACTAGGTCAAAGGTCAAGGTCACATGGTCTATGAATTGTAGTATGATTTCAGGTCATTTTTTTCAAAGCTGATTATCACAAAGTCTTCATTTTTCACATAGTGATTGGTCATAACATGTAAATGAACCCTTTTGATTTTGGTGTCACTAGGTCATAGGTCAGGTCACAGGTGCCTTGAATGGTAGTATGACATATTGAGTGGTTATAACTATTGATTTTGGGGTCACTAGGTCAAAGGTCAAGGTCACAGGGACCTCGAATGGTACTTTGACTTCTGCTGATAATCTTGGTCACTATTGATCATTTAATCTTCATATTTCACATAGTGATTGGCCATAACTAGTAGAAAGCCCCATTGCTTATGGGGTCTCTAGTTCAAAGGTCAAGGTCAAATGGGCCTTAAATGTCAAAATGGTTTCCTCTTCAGTGATTTTCCTACTTATATAACAGACCCCGAAAAAGGGCCTCTTCCCAATTGAAATTTTCTTTAAAATCATGCAGTTCCCAATTAAGCGAGAAAAATCACTGCTCTTATTATCTTGAAACTTATTTATCACAAAGACTTCATATTTCACATAATGATTGGTAATAACTAGTGAGTGACCTCTATTGATTTTTTGGTCACTAGGTCAAAGGCAAGGTCACAGGGTCCTTGATGGTAATATGGTTTCCATTTTATCTTGAAAGCTATTTATCACAAAGTCTTCATATTTTTGATACTGATTGGTCATAACAATTAGATGACCCCTATTGATTTTTTTGGTCACTACTTCAAAGGTCAAGGTCACTGGGGCCTTAAATGTCAGAATGGTTTCTGCTCATTATCTTGAAAACTATCACAAAGTCGTCATTATTTTTCTTTTTTCATAACTGAGCACTGCTATGTACCTATTTATGGCAAGTTTCTATAACAATATAACCAATAATGCGAGTCAAAGGCTAGAAAGGATGGGCATATGTGTTCGTTCGGCATTTCTTGTTGTTGGTTTTCATCAATTATACATTATAGACACTTAATTTCTAATTCCTCCTCCATTTTATAATTTTTCCTCTGAATATCAAAGGTTAAAACGCTTTAAAAAAAAACTCAATAGCACAGAAAAAAAAAGATTTCTGTGTTTACATGTGTATATGCAACAAGAGTGATGGACATTTATTGTTGTGTCATTAAGACCGGTTTTCGCATCGCACGTCAAATATATTCTTCATTTGTGTTATCTTTTGATATAGAAATGTACCTGTTCAAACACTGAGTACCTTTTGACCTGTAATACTCTCTTATTTGACAGAAGGAATCGTAATTTTTAATTCAGCACATTTTTATGAAGAAGAAAAATGAACTTTTTCCTTACACAGGAAAAGATCAATTTTTCATTACTTTAATTTCTCGATTTTTATGTGTTGAAATAATTCAAAGAATAATTAAGTTTAACATTTTAAATGTTTATATGTGGTGATTGTATCACTTTCTTTGATCTTAAGGTGGTGGGAAACTAACAATCAGTGGTTTTGGTTTCAAAAACGGTGCGAATGTAACAATCAACTCCAAGAATTGTCTTGTTGTCTCAATACAAGCAGATGCAATTGTGTGTTTGGTACCACAATCGGTAAGAATTAACCTTTCTTAAAGTCATTATTCTTTGCTTAATGTCTTATGTGTAATGTTAATGTCATACTTGCAACGTAAATGTCATATTTGTAACATAAATTTCATACTTGTAACCTTAATGTCATACTTGCAACCTAAATGTCACATTTGTAACGTGAATGTCATACTTGCAACTGAAATGTCATATTTGTAACAAGAATTTAATACTTGCAACCTTAATGTCATATTTGTAACCTTAAAATCATACTTGCAATCTAAATGTCATATGTGTAAAATGAATGTCATACTTGCAATTTTAATGTTATATTTGTAATGTTAATGTCATACTTGCAACCTAAATGTCATATTTGTAAACTTAATGTCATACTTGCAAGCTTAATCATCAGTATTATATAAAGTTATAAAGGGCAATCTCAAAAATGACAAGGCCTAGGGCTTTGATATTTGGTATGTATCTGTATCAAATGGTCCTTGCAAAGGTTGTTCAAATAATGCCCCTACGTTCAAATGGGGCCCAATTATTGGGCTCAACAGTTTTAGATCAAGTTATTTAGGAAAAGCTTCTTGTCAAATACCTCAAGGCCTAGAGCTTTTAATATTTGATACTAAACATAATCTAGTGATCCTCTACTTCAAAAACTGTTTATGCTTATAGTGCCAAAACGGGCCCGTCAGGGGGTCATCAAGAGTAATATTGAAATTAAAAAAAAAATCTTCTTGTCTAAAACCACAAGGCATAGAACTTTAATTTTTGGCATGTAACATCATTAAGTGGTCCTCGAGAGATTGTTCAGATTATGCTCCTAGGGACAAAAGAGGTCCCATTTGTGGCCTCATCAGCTTAACAAAAAGTTATATAGGAAAATCATAAAAAGACTTCTTGTCCAACTTACTACAAGGCCTAGAGCTTTGATATTGGGTATGTTACATCATCTAGTTGTCCTCTACAAGGATTATGCCCCTTTGGTGAAAAGGAGCCCATTTTGGGGCCCATCAGTTTGTCATAGAGTTCTATATAAGAATTAAAAAAAAAAAAATCTGCTTGTCAAAAACCACAAGGCCTAGAGCTTTAATTTTTGGCATGTAACATCATTAAGTGGTCCTTGACAGAGATTGTTCAAGATATGCTCCTAGGGTCAAAAGGGGTTCCTAGTGGTTCTTTTTTCTCATTAAAGATGTGGGGTTTTAATTGTGCTTTTTATGCTTAAGTTGCAAAAAGTGATACACTGACATGTGATAAAGTGTATTACTACTCTATAAATGTACAATAAAAAAAGGATTACTTATGTGTCATGACACCAGATATGATGTCAATGAAGCATTAAATGACATCAGGAAAATGAAATCTACGCTCGATGTAGTTGAACATATTTTTCTCTTATTTGAATTCTCTTTTTAGCTCACCAAAGGCGAAGACTTAGGGTGAGCTATAAGTATCAAAGTGGTATGCTCTGGCATCCATTGTCCATCGTCATGCGTCAACAATCGTCTTCTTCTCTGAAACAACTAGGCAGATTTACTTCAAATTTGGTCTTTAGCATCTTTGTGACAGACACGCTTGAATTTGCTCATGTCATTCTAATTGACCACATTTAGGGGTCTCTAGGGCTAATTATAGAAAAACCTTTAAACGTCATCTTCTACAGAACTAATGGATGGATAATCACCAAGCTTTGTCTGGAGGATTCTTGGGTAGTCTTTTATCAAGTTTGCTCATATGAATTTGATTGGCCCTTTCAGGGCAGCAAAAGCTAAAAATAGTAAAACCTTTAAATGTCTATTTCTAGAGAACTAATCAATGAATGATCACCAAACTTGGTCTGTAGCATTTTTAGCTAGTCTTTTATCAAGTTTGCTAATATTATTTTGATTTGCCCATTTTAGGGGTCCCTAGATCAAAAATTAGAAAAACCTTAAAAAATCTTCTCCTACAGAACAAATTGATGAAAATTAGAAAATCCTTTAAATATCTATTTCTAGAGAACAAATTGATGGATGATCACCAAACTTTGTCTGTAGCATTTCGTGGGTAATGTTTTATCAAATTTGTTCATATTAGCCCGTTTTAGGGCCGCAAAAGCTAAAAATAGATAAACCTTAAAACATCTTCTACATAACTAATTGATGGATGAGCACCAAACTTTGTTGGAAGTATTCTTGGGTAGTGTTTTATCAAGTTTGCTCATATTAATTTGATTAGCCTCTTTGAGGGGACGCAAAAGCTAAAAATAGATATACCTTTAAATGTCTACTTCTTCAGAAGTAATTGATGGAAGCTCACCAAACTTAAAAATGTCTCCTGAGCATTCTTGGGTAGTCTTTTATCAAATTGGCTCATAATTATTAATTTGATTGGCCCCTTTTAGGGGTCTCTTTAGCTAAAAATAGAAATACTGTAAAACACTTATTATTTGCGAGAAATTTATTTTCGCTAGTATTCGCCAGTTTTCTAAGACGCGAATTCATATTTCTCGCAAATATTTCACTTTGTCTATACACTTGTCCGAAAATGAACACTATCCGAAAATGCTTTCATATGGATATATATCTGCGGGAAAGTATCGGAACCAGTTCTACTTACATCATGTAGCTATTCAAGTGTTGCAGCATACACATATCGTACAGATTACTTGTATGAAAAAAAAAAACAACAGAAAATAACGATTTTCAGAATAACAGTTTTGGTATTTGGTACAAATAATTTAGCACCTGCGAGTTGTTAGTAACATATCTATTTATTGTATCTTATTGTATTGTACTAGAGTTTAAGCTGGAGGTTAAATTTTATCGTTTACTACAGGTTAGGCAAATTACAGTACCGTTTAATTGATTTTCGTCTGCATGCCTTTGAATGGCTAATCTGTAATACATGACAAACACAGTGAACACATATCAAATAATTATCAAACTTTATTGACACATTTTTAGACAGACGGTTTCACTAAACAAGAAGATTAGCAAGCTATCAGAAAAATCGATACAGTTATAAATGCATTCGTCGCACAATAAACGACGCAAAGTTAGTGATCGACAGGACAGAAAATATCGGATTGACATCTGGTTTCCGGTTTCAAATTTTTCGGGAAGACGCGAATTCATGTTGACGCGAAATAATTATTTTGGACATTTTGCCTCAAATGCGAGAAATAAGGTTCTCGCGAAAAATAAACGTTTTACAGTACTGTTAAATGTCTATTTCTAGAGAACTAATAGATGGATGATCCCAAACTTTGTCTGTAGCATTCTTGGGTAGTCTTTTGTCAAGTTTGCTCATATTAATTTGATTGGCCCCCTTTTAGGGGTCACTTAAGCTAAAAGTAGAAATGCCTTACAATGTCTATTTCTACAGAACTAATGGATGGATGATCACCAAACTTTGTCTGAATCATTGTTGGGTACTATTTCATCCAAGTTTGCTTATATTAATTTGATTAGCCCCTTTTAGGCGCCACTAAAGCTAAAAATAGAAAAAGCCTTTGAACATTATTTCCTACTGAAATAATTGATAGATGATCACCAAACTTTATAGCATTCTTAGCTAGTCTTTTATCAAGTTTGCTCATATTAATTTGATTAGCCCGGTTTAAGCTTAAGCTTAAATGCCCCAGGTCATGGCATTTCTTAAAATTATTGTTTAAACATATTCTATGCTCATATTTATTTTGAAAACATATTGACATTCCAACACCGAAAAGCAGTTGTTTCTGGTTAGCGACTCTGGGCCATGATGGCCCTCTTGCTTGTTTATTAGGATGTTCGAATTAAAACAGTGTCTGAATACCCAAAAGGACAACTAAAATATTCTTAACTTTCTTTGCCCAACTTTTCAGCTTTGTTAGAAATAGATTACGACGTTTTTCATTATATTTATGCAGTTACACAAAGCACTTCCTTGCTGGTAAAAATTCTTTTCTTTTAAATTCTTATCATATTCTGCAATCTTTAGACATCTGCCGGTACTTACGATGTGGTCGTTGATCAGGAGTCTTCTTCATTAAGTTATTCTGGATATACATACAATTCTGGACTGACCGCTTTAGTAAGCAGCATTGTGCCATCAACAATAGATGTGACAGGTAATGTGATTTTTTTCTGATACTTATTATAGTATAATGCTCTATTCACATCCAAAAATATTCAATTCTGCTTCTTTCTGCTATTTAAAATGATGAACATAGAATAAAATGCAGCATGATTGAAAAAGATTCAGCACCATGCTTTCATAGTAGCATTCAGGCAATTGTACAAAACTAAATACGTGATTTATGTCTGCTTTGCTATATCTAAAACTTAACTGGATTTGGAACTGATGATAACAATTTGTGGTTGTGAAGGTTAAGGCGGTCAATTGTGAAATTTCGTCTTTAACCAACATCCAGATACTCTGTCAAATTGAATATAAAGGTACAATTCACCAAGTGACAATAAATTGCAGTTTTCAATTGCCATGTATCACCTATAAAATGTTGCCCAGTATCACTTTAAGAGTTGTTAATTTATTTTCTGATCCTTCGGATTCATTGATCCCAACACTTCAGTGTTGAATATGGAGCACTGTTAAAGCTGGTGCTAGGGACGTGGGGATATTAGGCTTTATCTTTATATCTTTTTTTAGCAGACTACATCAAACCAATTCTGCTATTTTCATGTAATTTTGTTGTAATTATGCTGCTGAGAGATCTCCCTTTTATACAAATTTTGAAACAAAATATCAAATTAAATAAATATATGAATTTCAAAGTGTTTTAAATGATCAATATGCATTTTTGCCATTTTTTTGAAAATATTTTTTCTTCTTTTTATTGTTGTTTCAGGTGAAAATATAATTATATCTGGGTCATCATTTTCTCCAAGCAAAGGTTCTGTATTTGTTGGCTCAGTTGAAGCAGCCGTTACATCTTGGTCGGATAGTCAAATCGTGATATCTGTTCATGATGTACTCCCAGGCATTCAACAGCTCAGAATAGAAGCTCCAAATGGATATGCAGTAAAAGCGTACGAAACATATATTATTTGTTTATTCTAGTATTATAGTTATTCTAAAGATTTTATGTGCCATCACTGTTGCCTTTACTGTTGCCTGTACATTGTTTGATTTGTGTTTATATTATCCTAAAAAGGTTCCTCATTGCTTTATTTACAGGAACACCTTTGAGTTACCAACAGTGAATGTTGATTTGAAAATAACAAATGTTTACCCTCTACAAGGTTCATTGTTAGGTGGAACGAAATTGACAATAACCGGATCTGGATTCGGAACTGACGATAATGCTGTGGTTGTGAAGATTGGGGATGTCAATTGTGAAATCTTGTCTTTAACCAACACTCAGATACTCTGTCAAATTGAAGATTTAAGAAAAATCCACCAAGTAACAAACATGGGCGTTGATCCAGGTGAGAAAATAATTTTACTTAATTTAACTTATATTTAGCTTTTAAAACTCAGTAATTGTTTGACAAATGTAAATATATAAATAACTATATTCCGTAAGGGTGAGATACAGAAATTTAAGTAAAAAGTAGTATTTGATTATAATTCTGGTTTTATGTTAAAATGAAATATTTTCATACCTTATTTAGTTGGTTTGCAGTCAAACTTTCTCTTGCATCAATGTAAAAAAAACATTTCAAAAAATTAATATGCTAAAGCTTACACAGATTCATTAGCAGTCAATCATTGTCATATATTACTAGTAAGTATCGTGTCAGTTTTACATGTGAATATTGTGTTTTGGATATTTTCAGATTTTGGTGTTTATTACGCCTATGACAAACCATTTATTACTATTAACGAGGGAGATTTTGTTAACTGGTCGTGGAAAACGGCAGCTTTTGTCACTGATGTCACTCATTCTGTAACGGAAATAGAAAATCCCGGTTTTTTGGTTGCTAAGAAAGGTGGATTTAGTAGTGGCAGTCCCAGCAGAGATGGTATAAACTGACCTTCATCACTTTTATATATTGTTGCTTTGGCTGTAAATTACAGAAGACTTCTAACGTAAAATAAAAAATGGTTTGATTCTATTTCTCAATAGTTTCAGTCTAATAATTTTTAAATCGGCTTAGAGCTTGATTATTAAATGCCAATTCATTAAATTACAATACCAGACTCTTTCTGGAAACTAGTGATTATGATTGTTTTTCAATCAAATCGTCAAACTTTTGGTTTCCATGCATTAATTTTGTTTTGCTTTAGCCTATTAACGCAAATCTTGTGTATTATGTAGCTTATATCAAGAGGCAGCTTGGGATTGCTACCCAGATGTCTGTGATCAAGGTCATTGTCACCATTGCTTAAAATAGACAGTGATTTTTCTCGCTTAATTGGGAAGAGGCCTTAGCCTCTTGATTTTGGGAAAAATTATCGCTAAAATTGCTAATTTGGGAAGAAAAAAGCATGTTTCAGTTCAGATTTTGGGAAAACTGCATGATTTTAAAGAAAATTTCAATTGGGAAGAGGCCCTTTTTCGGAGTCTGTTATATAAGTAGGAAAATCACTGATAGAAATTCAGTTTCCGCTCAACAACTTGAGTTTGCTTAAACCTATTCACACCAAATTTGGTGTATGGGTAGCTTATACCAAAAGGCAGCTTGGGATTGCTCCCAGATGCCTGTGATCAAGGTCAAGGTCACAGTTGCTGAAAATAGAAATTCAGTTTCCACTCAATAATTTGAGATTGCTTTTACCCATTGACACATTACTTGGTATATGTGTAGCTTTTATCAAGAGGCAGCATGGGATTCCTACAAGGTCACAGTTGCTGAAAATAGAAATTCAGTTCAACACAATTATTTATGGCGTATTTCAAGACACTCCTCAAGTTTGCTACCCAGGTGTCTGTGATCAATGTCAAGGTTAATGTGTCTAAAAATAGAAATTCTGTTTCAGCTCAATAACTTGAGTATTTAGCCTATTGAAGCTAAACTTGGTGTATCAATAACTTATATTATCAAAAGGCAGGTTGGGATTCCTACCTAGTTGTGTTTGATCAAGGTCACTGTTGCTAAAATCAGTGAAATAACTTCAGTTTGATTGACCTATTGACACCAAAATATGTATGTTGGTAGCAAATTTGATATTTGGGTAACTTATATCAAAATGCAACTAGTAATTGCTACCCAGATGTCTGTGGTCAAGGTCAATGTTACTGTTGCTAAAAATATAAATTCAGTTTTCACACAATAACTTGAGTTTGCTTAGACATATTGACAGGCTTTGACCTCTTGACACCAGATTTGCTTTGAAGGCAGCTAATATTAAGATTCAGCTAAAGAATACTACTTAGATATCTGGGAGTAAGGTCAAGGTCACTTGCCTAAGTAGAATTTTCAGCTTCTACTCAAGAACTTCAGTACCTATTGACCTATTGATACTTAATTTGGCATGTGTGTAACTTACATGAAAATACAGCCTAACATTGCTACTCGGGTATCTGGTATATTTTTAGTTTTAACAATTGAAACCAACTTTCTGTGTAGGTTTCACTTTTACTTCACTGCCATATTTCATTCGTTATTCCTTTCACATTATTGTTGTTGATAACCTAGATTTTATTCACATTGCGGCACTTTTTGTTTTTCTTTCAATTTCTTTTTAAATACAAATTTATCTATTTTTAGCTCACCTGTCACAAAGTGACAGGGTGAGCTTTTGTGATCGCTTTTCGTCCGGCGTCCGTCCGGCGTCCGTCCGTCGTCTGTCCGTCCGTCGTCTGTCCGTAAACTTTTACTTTAAATGACATCTCCTCATAAACCACTAAGCCAATTTCATCCAAACTTCACAGGAATGTTCCTTTGGTGGTCACCTTTGAAAAATTGTTCAAAGAATTTAATTCCATGCAAAACTCTGGTTGCCATGGCAACCAAAAGAAAAAACTTTAAATATCTTCTTTTCAAAAACCGTAAGAGGTAGAGCTTAGATATTTGGCATGAAACATCTTCTAGTGAGTGTCTACCAAGTTTGTTCAAATAAAAGCCCTGGGGTCAAAATTGGCCCCGCCCCAGGGGGTCATTGATTTTCCCTATATGCATATAGTAAAAACTTAAAAAATCTTCTTTTAAAGAACCCAAAGAGCTAGAGCTAAGATATTTCGCATGAAACATGTTCTAATGGGTGTCTACCAAGTTTGTTCAAATAAAAGCCCTGGGGTCAAAATTGGCCCCGCCCCAGGGGGTCATTGATTTTCCCCATATGCATATAGTAAAAACTTAAAAATTCTTCTTTTAAAGAACCCAAAGAGCTAGAGCTAAGATATTTAGCATGAAACATGTTCTTATGGGTGTCTACCAAGTTTGTTCAAATAAAAGCCCTGGGGTCAAAATTGGCCCCGCCCCGGGGGGTCATTGATTTTCCCTATATGCATATAGTAAAAACTTAAAAAATCTTCTTTTAAAGAACTCAAAGAGCTTTGGCTAAGATATTGAGCATCAAACATGTTGTAATGGGTGTCTACCAAGTTTGTTCAATTAAAAGCCCTGGGGTCAAAATTGGCCCCGCCCCAGGGGGTCATTGATTTTCCCTATATGCATATAGTAAAAACTTAAAAAATCTTCTTTTAAAGATCCAAAAGAGTTAGAGCTAAGATATTTAGCATTAAACATGTTCTAATAAGTGCCTACCAAGTTTGTTCAAATAAAAACCCTGGGGTTAAAATTGGCCCCGCCCTGGGGGGTCATTGATTTTCCCTATATGCATATAGTAAAAACTTAGAAAATCTTCTTTTAAAGAAATCAAAGAGCTATGGCTAAGATATTTAGCATCAAACATGTTCTAATAGGTGTCTATCAAGTTTGTTCAAATAAAAGCCCTGGAGTCAAAATTGGCCCCGCCCCAGGGGGTCATTGATTTTCCCTATATGCATATAGTAAAAACTTAGAAAATCTTCTTTTAAAGATCCAAAAGAGTTAGAGCTAAGATATTTAGCATGAAACATGTTCTAATGGGTGTCTTCCAAGTTTGTTCAAATAAAAGCCCTGGGGTTAAAATTGGCCCTGCCCCGGGGGGTCATTGATTTTCCCTATATGCATATAGTTAAAACTTAGAAAATCTTCTTTTAAAGAAATCAAAGAGCTATGGCTAAGATATTTAGCATCAAACATGTTCTAATAGGTGTTTACCAAGTTTGTTCAAATAAAAGCCCTGGGGTCAAAATTGGCACCGCCTCGGGGGTCATTGATTTTCCTTATATGTGTATATAAGCAAAAACTTAAAAAATCTTCTTTGAAAAAAACCAAATAGCTAGAGTTAAGATATTAAGCATGAAACATCTTTTAGTGAGTGTCTACAAAGTTTGTTCAAATAAAAGCCCTGGGGTCATAATTTGCCCCGCCCCAGGGGGTTATTGATTTTCCCTATATGCGTATAGTAAAAACTTAAAAAATCTTCTTTTAAAGAGTCAAAAGAGTTAAAGCTAAGATATTTAGCATGAAACATGTTCTAATAAGTGTCTACCAAGTTTGTTCAAATAAAAGCCCTGGGGTTAAATTGGCCCCGCCCTGGGGGGTCATTGATTTTCCCTATATGCATATAGTAAAAACTTAGAAAATCTTCTTTTAAAGAAATCAAAGAGCTATGGCTAAGATATTTAGCATCAAACATGTTCTAATAGGTGTCTACCAAGTTTGTTCAAATAAAAGCCCTGGGGTCAAAATTGGAACCGCCCCGGGGTCATTGATTTTCCATATATGTGTATATAAGCAAAAGCTTAAAAAATATTCTTTGAAAAAAAAAACAAATAGCTAGAGTTAAGATATTAAGCATGAAACATCTTTTAGTGAGTGTCTACAAAGTTTGTTCAAATAAAAGCCCTGGGGTTAAAATTGGCCCCGCCCCGGGGTCATTGATTTTCTTTATATGTGTATAGCAAAAACTTAAAATCTTCTTTGAAAAAACCCAAATAGCTAGAGTTTAGATATTAAGCATGAAACATCTTCTAGTAAGTGTCTACAAAGTTTGTTCAAATAAAAGCCCTGAGGTCAAAACTGGCCCGGCCCCAGGGGTGTCATTGTTTTTAACTATATGTGTATAGTAAAAACTTGAAAAAAATCTTCTTTTAAAAAGCCCAATGAGCTAGAGCTTAGATGTTTAGCATGAAACATCTTATGGGTGTCTACCAAGATTGTGCAAATAAAAGCCATTGGGTTAAATTGGCCCTGCAACGTTTGGGAGGGGGTTGGGGGGGCCTATATACAGGTGAGCGACCTCAGGGCCATCATGGCCCTCTTGTTTTAGAAAAAGAAGAAAAAGTTCAACAAAGTCCCTGCACAACGGTGGCTCTTGTTTAATGTTACACTTAATCCTTATTTTATATCCTTTTCATACATGTAATCTTTTTATATATCCTTTATATACACATGACCTTTGTTTAATATTCTTAGGATAAACATAGCCTCAATTTTATAATTTGTTGAATTTTAGGCAGCTTTAGGCATCAGTTTGTGAAGGCTGGACTTTACTATGTATGGAGCGGCATGGTCAGCATTTATAATAACAAATATTATATTGGCCAAATCAAAGTTGTCCCTGCAATAACAACTTACCAAAGAGTCAATGTTATATTAGGAAAGGCATGGGCATTGAGTTACAGGGGAGGTGAGCAGAATTATTGTTCAAAATATTTTATATTTTAATACTTCTTTGTTGGTCACATTGCCTTTAAAATATTTACCGTTCATATCAAACTCAGATCTGTTCTATGTTTTAATAAAGTAAAGTATTCAAATTATTTAAAAAAAAATTTTTTTTATATATCCAGGTTCTTCAAATCCAATAGATGGGTCTAATTGTCAGTCTGTTACATCAGGCAAACAATCCTGTTCTGACAACAAGTTGGATTGGTATGATCTTGACAAGTTCATCTTCACCTTCTGGACATGTAGCACACCTGTTGTAAACTCGATCAATGTTAACAGTGGAACAACAAAGACAGATATAGTTATAACTGGTGAAGGATTTTCTAATACAGAATGCCAGAATGAGGTCAGTTTTGGTGGCATCCCTTGCATTGTGAAATCATCTTCTGAAGACACTCTTACATGTAATTTGGAAAATTCAGGAGAACCTGAATTAGGAATACTACATCAGATAGATATGAGGGTACACAATCGAGGAAAAGCGCGTATTAATATCGTAAAGCCCAAAGATCGAGGTTTTGCCGTAATACCAAATATTGAACAAATAACACCAACATCTGGTTCATTGGCTGGTGGCGCCCTTTTAACAGTCTCCGGTTATGGATTTGGAGAATCGCCAATGGTTGAAGTAGATGGATACCAGTGCAAAATCATCACAAATACTTATAAGGAAATCGTGTGTGAAACTCCAAGACATACAATTGAAGGTGAAAAACATGTCACAGTGGAAGCATTTGTAAATGGTGCATCCCATCCTGCAAAATGTGAAACATATTTGAAGAAGTGCCGATTCTTATATGCTCGCTTATATACATCGACTGTGTCTTCTATTTCACCATCATCCATGTCTGGAGCAACTTCATTCACAATCAATGGAACAGCTCTTGGTACAAATATTGGAGAAGTCAGTGTCTCAATTGGTAATGTTATAGGAACTGTAACTTCAGTAGATGTAACAGTTCTTGTTGTAGATGTTAACAACATCCCTGCAGGTGACAATGATGTATTTGTTTATGTTAAAGATTATGGTAAAGCTTCTGGAAGGTTGTCAGTATTTGGAAATCTTATGATAAGTCAAATTTCTCCGTCTTCTGGGAGTATTTATGGTAACACTAAAATTACAATTCAAGGAAATGGCTTTTTTAATACAGCATCTGTTACTATCGGTGGGGCTGCATGTGACATAGAGTCTATATCTCTTTCTGTTGTGATATGTGTAACTAAAGCCCATGCTGCTGGGTCTACCACTGTTGTCGTGACATCAAACAGCATATCTGAGTCTTCGATATACACCTACGCAGCCAGCTCAACACCGACTATTACATCTTTAAACCCTACCTTCGGAGTTGCCGGGCAGACATTGACCATTACTGGATCAAACTTGAGTGGAGGCAATGTTGCTGTCACAATTGGACAGTCTAGTTGTGACTACATCTCTGGTAATGCAGGAGAAATCAAGTGCACTATAGGGGATCATCCAACTGGAATGGCTAATGTCCTTGCACATGTTGCAAAACTTGGATATTCAAACTCAAACATTCAATTTGAATACCAGCTTAGTATCGATAGCATACACCCTATCCGAGGTAATTGACTTGTTAAAAAAAATTGTTTGATTTCTTTTAATGTAAACAGCATTAACCCTTTTGTCCTACTTTATGATTTCACAATACCTTTTTCTGCTAATATTTAAAACATGAAAATCATCTAGATATAGCTTATATTATTGTCAAAAAACAATATATACATGCAGGGTACAAAAAGTTCTTTCTGTTACAAAATTTACATATTATTTTTAATGCAGTAAGGTTTTTTTTTTTTTTTTTTCAAGAAATTTTGTTTTAAGTTACACTTATTATTAGCAATTCCAATTTAAAAAGTGGAACAGTCTAAACTTCTCATAACAGCTTTGAAAGATTATATTTATAGTTACCTATGCTATTGTTACGTTAGAGATTATCCCAAAGTAGAAAATCTTTATCTAGAAATTTTATCTTTTATACTTTTTTTAATATATTGTTTTTCAGGAGGTAAAACAGGTCGTCAAATTGTGGTCATAGCGGGAACAGGGTTTGATGATTCAGCTGTTGTTACAATTTGTGGAGAGACTTGCCAACAAACTCTCGTAACAACATCATCGTACACATGTAAAACACCGGCAAGCTTAGGTCAAATCATAAGTTACATTACCTCATTCTTAAAAATTTGGGAGAATTTATAATTTCCTGTTTTATAATGTTTCTGTTTTCACTTCATTGAGGCAATATCCCCTTTTATATTAAAAAAATAAGAAGAGAAGAGAGAGAGAAATGTTGCATATCTTTATAGTATGAATATTTAATGTAGTCTGATTATAGTGATACATAAAAACAGAATGAAAAATAAACTCTTTTTTAGCTCACCTGAGCTTGCTCAGGGTGGGCTTTTAGGATCGTTAAATGTCCTTCCGATAAAGTCAATCAAGGCCTCTTCTATGATGAGGTACATCTAAATAAAGAAGGCTCAATCTTGCTAGGAAAACAGCTAAATGCAGGAATTAGAGATATCCTCGGCATCACCAACCAAGAACTTGTACCCAGAAATAGATCAAGTATCCATAATGCTTCCAGAAAGCAAGGAAATTTTCACAATGTCCACAGCAGGCAGAGACATTTTTGGAGAAACCCATATTGCGATGCCTGAAATCCCTGGCCCAGAACACCGTGGATGATGCCACACTGGTAAATAAGACTGTCCTTGATAATACAGCTATAACCAATACTGAACCAAAACAGACTGTGAAAAATGTCATAGATAGAACATCATCACATAACCTTTCTCTCACAGAAGACAATGATAAAGTAAAAACAAGTCCCATTTTAGATGAAATACAATTTGACAAAAAAGGTATTAACTTTATGCACTTAAATATCCATTATCTTTATCCAAAAATAGATGAAGGAAAACACCTGGTAGACAAATATCAAGATATAGACATTCTGGGACTACTTGAAACTTTTCTTAGTGATGTTTTTTCTGATTCAGAGATATGTTAAAAAAATCATTATCAACTGTTTAGATGCGATAGGATATCAAATGGTGGTGGAGATGTGTTATATGTTAAGTCTACAATACCATGTGAATTAAGATCTGACTTAGAATGGGAGGATATTGAGTCAATATGGCTTGAAATAAAACTTGACAAACAGAAACCATTTCTGGTGGGTTACATCTATAGGCCACCTTCATCATTGGCATCATAGAATGATAAAATTAAAGAAATCCTTGATAAAAATTTATTGAAAACAAAGAATTAATTCTTTTTGGAGATTTCAACTATAATTTTGTTACAAATTGCTCAAATAATACAAGGTGGAATAATATTATTAACACATTTAACCTTTCTCAACTTATAACGCATCCTACAAGAGTCACACCATTGACTTCAACCACTATTGACCACATTTACAGTAACCATGCAGCCACATAATTTTTCCTACACTGCAGTCCCTATACTGTCTATAAGCAACCATTATCCTATATTTTTCACACGACGAACAAAGGTCCAATGCATGCCACTATAAAATATAGGTACTTAAAGAACTTTAATGCAGATAATTTTGTACATGAATTGTCAGACCAGCCATGGTCTCTCATTAACATATGTAGTGATCCAGATGATGCTTTAGATACATTTAATAAATTATTTTTACAAACTTTAGATAAGCATGCTCCATACAAGCAGAAACGAGTAAAACATAGAAACCAAACTGATTGGTTTAATGATGATATAGCTGATGCAATACAAAAAAAGGAACTATGCAAAAAAGAAAAATGATAATCATGACTTCCAATACTGGAAATCACAAGTAAAAACATTAACACATAAAGCAAAAACAGATTTCTTTGAACAAGAGATAAACTCAAACAAGAAAAACCCAAAACCCTAAAAAATTATGAAAAAACTTAAAAATTCAATCTGGCAAAACAGAAAATCATCAAACAAACTACATAGATGATGAGAATGGTTCACCAATAACTGACCCAAAATCAACAGCAGAAACTTTTAACAACTTTTTTGCAAATATATTTAAAAAGGCTGAAAACATTAATGAAACATCAGATTCTATGAAAACCGCTTTAAATGCTTCTCTGAAATCTGACACTCTAAATCATTATAATAAATTCAAAATACCCTTTGTTGAAATAAGTTATGTCAGACAAAAGTTGGACAGTCTTGATATAACAAAAGCAACTCGTTTAGATGGCATAAGTGCAAAATTCCTAAAAACAGCCTCAGACATCATTTGTAAACCTTTGTTCTGTAATAAATCTAAGTATAGAACATGGAAAATTCCCAACCCAGCTTAAACAATCAAAGGTAATACCCGTCTACAAAAAAGGGTCAAAATCAGACAAAATAACTAGAGACCAATATCAATACTTCCACTTATTTCTAAAATATTGGAAAAGCATGTATAAGACCATTTGAAATGCTTTCTAGAAAATAATAATTTACTTTTCACTACACAGTCTGGTTTCATAACAAGCCACTCCTGTGAAACAGCACTTACAAATATAGATGATAACTGGATCAATGCACTAAACAATGTCGAACTTGTTGGTACACTTTTTCTGGACCTATCTAAGGCATTTGACTTAGTAAACCATAACCTACTACTTGAGAAAACTACCTTATTATCATCTCTCTTCACAAGCTATAAATTGGATTAAATCATATCTTTCAGAAAGGTATCAATAAGTAAATGTTTCTGGTGTATTATCTGAACCAGCTGAAGTTGTCTCAGGTGTACCACCAGGCTCAGTCCCTTGGGTCCCTTCTATTCATTATATTCATCAATGATCTACCATTTCATATCAAACAATCAATTACTGACATGTTTGCAGATGACACTTCTCTAACAACTACTGGCAATACTTTACAAGAAGTAAACACCAACCTTCAAAAAGATCTTGATAATGTTAACACATGGTGCATGCAAAATGCAATGGTTCTGAATGCTCAGAAATCTAAAGCTATGCATTTATCAATAAAAAGCACAAAAACAGATAATAAGCAACCACCTACTTTGTTTCATAATAACCAAGAAATAGAATATACAAACACTGAAAAACTACTTGGAATGTATGTAGACATCAATCTTAAATGGAAAACACAGGTCCAGTCAACTATAAAAAATGCAACTCACAGCTGTATTCACTTCTTTGACTTAAACAGTATTTAAATCTTCATTCAAGAAAACTTTTTTTTAATGAATACATACTGCCTCACTAGGACTTCTGTTGTACTATTTGGGGAAACTGCAATAACGAATTACTATCTGATGTCATTAAATTTCAAAAAAGGGCAGCAAGAATACTCTTTGACAAAAATTTAGAAACAGAATTTTTCAGAAAATCATTTGCACAGTCTGCGAAAAATACGCAAAGCCCCAGCCCAAGTCTAGTAAAAAATCATTTGGGCTAGCTAAAAAGGCAGGGCACATAGTCCGACGGTCTTGCATTGTTTTGGAAACCGAAATGTTTATAAATAGCATTTTAAACACAATGACTGGGAGGGATATAACATATTGATTTTCTTCGAGGTATTGACACAGGATTTTCCAATATACGTCGATACTATTTATAACCGCCGAGAGGGGTATAGCATATTGATTTTTTTCGGGGTATTGACACTGGTATTTCCAAAACGCCAGAGGGGTAAGCTTATTGAAATAATGCATAGACATTTTAAGCCAATCAAATACCGCGTTATTAAAATGTCAAAATGGCGCACATGTTGAAATGGACGCCGGGCTGTAAACCAGGAAAGGGTTTTAAGATTGAAGAAAGTAAAAAAAACCATCTAAACAGGAATATGAAAAGAAAAGAACACGCAGTTTCCAAAGCCATTGGAGGGTGGGCGAGAATGGTTGAAATTTGAAAACAGTAGATTCTGATAGATCTATCAACACAGACAAACTTTTAGAAAGTTCTCCTCCAGTCCAGAACAAGTATTTGCTGAAGAGGTATATTGCTACTTTTTGAAACATTTTTCATGAAGTTGTTAATTGTTTACTATTTAAAAAAACAAACAAGCAACCAGAATTCAGCTCTTTACCTTTACAACCCATGTTCAATTTTATACCGCAGTCTGACTAACCATATTTTGTATTTTGATACTGAAATCACTTAAAACTTTGAATAATAATTATAAATTGACTGTTCCGATTTCAAAGAAAAGCTATCCATTTCACAAGTTTGCCATGTTAGCTTAGGTTTGAATTTTAATATACTTATAATATTAAAAAGTAAAACATTTGTGTTGTTTTGAAAAATTTTATTCTTATTTAAAAACAATGAATTTCACTTTATTTTCCGTAATATTTTCAGCATCATAACCTAGGGGAATGTTCTGACAGAGACAGCGACTCGGATTATGATTCTGGTATAGATGAAGATGAGCCTATGGAAATGAGTCAACAAGAAGTTGAAAGAAACCTATCATCTTTCAGTGTAGAATATCAGAAATAAATGTTATTCAACTGACAAAGCTTTTTATCAATTTCTTCATATATATAAATTTGAAAACCTGGCCAAATTATGAAAAATTTTGTATGAATTTTCGGGCTACCTAAAATTTGTTCGGGCTATGTGATATTTTAATGGACCAAGCCCGAATGTCTTTGTCCATAAAAAGTTTTTCGTGCAGACTGTTTGCATAGTCTGGACCAAAAATATGGAATGACATACCAGTACGTATAAGAAATTCCGATACTCTTTAGAAAATTCAATCAGCTTATATCAAATGGCAGTTTTCACCTTAAACTAGCTGTTGATTTATTCCTGTTGTATAAATTACTTATATGTGTTTTTATCATTATTATATTACTATTGTTATTGTTTCTTTTACTTTTGTCCCATATTTTCTCAATAGGAAAATTTATGATTCAATGATGCCAAATGATGATTTCCTACTCCAATTGAACTTAAATTTATGTATATATATATATATATATATACATATATTTTAGTTATATATGAGCCAATATGTATTAGATAATAATTTCACTTAAATTATCATTTGAATTTCCATAAGTATAATTATTGTTTTAAACAGGTACTAGATATTGTTTTCAACTTACCTATCTGTTCATATTGCACTTTTTCTCTTTATTATTATGTTGTACAATCATATCATTTTTTGCTTTATCAATCATTACTTCAATTTAATTGATCTATTTTAATAATATTTGTGTTTATATGTTGTGTATTATGTTGTGTACATGTAAACCGATTATAATTATGTTATGCTGAGGCCTGCATGGAAGATCGGGAACCTGAATGTGTAAACCTCGTTAAATAAAGTTCCTACTTACTTACTTACTTTCTTCGTCCTTCTACACATGTTTCTTAACACTTTAGTGGTCACATTTTTGCATCAATCATCATCAAACTTGGTAAGGATGCTTGTCTAGGTGAAACGAATATGCGTCATTCTTGGATAAAAAACTAGGTCACTGGAGCTAAAAATAGAAAAACCTTGTTAACACTCTGGCTGTCACATTTTTGCCTCAATCATCATCAAACTTGGTCAGGATGCTTGTCTAGCTGATAGCTCAAATGAGTTTGAACATAGGTCATCTCGGAGGAAAAACTAGGTCACCGGAGCTAAAAATAAAAAAAAACTTCTTAACACTCTAGTTGTCACATTTTTGCCTCAATCATCATCAAACTTGGTCAGGATGCTTGTCTAGGTGAAAGCTTGGATGAGTTTGAACATGAATTATCCCGGATGAAAAACTAGGACACTGGAGCTAAAAATAGAAAAACCTTGTTTACACTCTAGCGGTCACATTTTTGACTCAAGAATCATCAAACTTTGTCAGGATGCATGTCTAGGTAATTGCTCAGATGAGTTCGAACATGGGTCATCTCAGATGAAAAACTGGGTCACAGGAATTAAAAAAAAATAAACACTCTATTGGTCACATTTTTGACTTAATTGTCATAAAACTTGGTCAGGATACTAATGTCTAAGTAATTGCTTGGATGAGTTTGAACATGGATTATCTCGAATGATAAACTAGGTCACAGGAGCTGAAAATAGACAAATCTTGTTAACACTATTGCGGTCACATTTTTGACTCAATTTTCATCAACCTTGGTCAGGATGCTTGTCTAGGTAATTGCTCTAGTTATGTTGAACATGGGTCATTTCGGATGAAAATCTACGTCACAGGAGCTAAAAATAAAAAAATCTTGTTAACACTCTAGTGGATACTGTTTTGATCCAAATATCCTGTAAATTGATCTGAAATTTTGTTTTGATTTCTAGGTCAAGTTTGAATATGGGTTACCTGGGGTCAAAACTAGGCCACACTGCCAAAATATGGAAAAACCTTGTTAACATTCTAGTGGTCACATTTTTTAATCAATTGTCATCAATTGGTAATGATACTTTTCTAGGTAATTGCTAGGATGAATATGAACATGGGTCATCTCAGATGAAAAAAACTAGGTCACCTGAGCTTAAAATAGAAAAATCTTGTTAACATTCTAGTGGCTACTGTTTTTATCCAAGTACCCTGGAAATTGGTCTGAAAGTTTGTTTTGATGATTTCTAGGTCAAGTTCGAATATGGGTCAACTGAAAAAAAAACTAGGTCACACTGGTCAAATATGAATGATCCTTGTTAACACTCTAGTGGTCACATTTTTGACTCACCTGTCATGAAACTTAGGCCAAATGCTTGTCTAGGTAATCGTTCTGATGACTTTGATGGGTCAGGTGAGCGATCTAGGGCCATCATGTCCCTATTGTTAAATATCTTGTTTTTAATTCCCAAAACCTGGCTCATTGTCAACCTATAAAACCCTTTTTATGCTGTTTTTTCTCTCTTTTGTTTTGGAATGGTATGGATGGATGGATGGATTGAAGGATGTATGTATTTAACATATGTATGTATGTATGTATGTATTGATGGATGGATGGATTAACAAAAATAGGACATATTGTGTAAATGATGCCATAAAATTAATATATCATTGCAGAGGAAAGATCTTGCGATGTATCCATAACTTTAAATGGCTTGACAAAAACTCTTTCAAATGCTTATACATACGTTTCAACCCTCACATCCTATATACAAAATGTGAGTCCAAGAAGAGGGGGTACTGAAGGTGGTACAATGTTGACCATCACTGGGTCATATTTTGGGTAAGTTTAATTTTCTGACAATTCATGTATAATGTTTGGTTAACCCTTTACCTCATATATATGTGAAACAATGCACTTTAGACCCCCCCCCCATATTTTTAGATCTAAAATAGTGGAAAAATGTCCTATTGGGGCCCAAACACATGTTTTTGTTGAGAAATGTTGCTAAAAAAGTGAGCATTTTTTCAGCGCAGCTCCCCATCCAAAAGATACATCAGAGGGTTGCCAGAAGGGGGATGTGCCCCCTTCTGTTTGGGGGGGGGTTGAAGGGGGGCGGAGTCCCCCTCAGCGTTAAGAAAATTTTGGACTTGTGAGAGGCTAAATATGACCCCAGGTCGATCAAAAGATAACATGTAACCAACACTGAAAAACCTTTGACTCTATCTCAATCCATTGAGAAGTTGCAGCACTTTGAAATAGATTTTGATGGAAAAAATCGAGGCAAAATAGTGATTTTTGGCAATATTTGAGATGTCCCCTCGTTGCCATGGTAACGGGAAATTTGTGACTGAGCATGTCATTACAAAGACAATGGTCCAGTCAACATTTGTGCTAAGTTTGATTAGTATTCAAGCATTTTTCATAGTTTCATAGCAGTTTGAACTTGTACACTGATTCTCATAAGAATTGTGAAATTGACAGATCAAAAGTCGAAAAAATCGATCTCCTTAATAGGGCCTATTTTCGAAGATTTCGAAAAGTAGAACCCTTAAATGAGACAATTGTGAAATCTTTTGAACATCAACCAAATACTTTGCGAGTACTACTCTCTGAAAGAAGCAACCCTAGTTGTCAAATTTATCCTATTGTAATGTACGCTACTATCAGTTTATTAATTAAAACATTCCGAATTTCATAAGAAATATTAAACATATCCACTTCAGAGAACTTTATTTTTGCCATGTATTCATTACATTTATAAAATAACAAAATATTTCACTATGAAACGCTTGAAATATTTTTTTCTTGAGCTTGCAAAGTTATCGCGATAAAACGCAATTCTACAAAAGTACGTTTATTTAAAATGCGGAATTTTTGATGATTGATTTCATTTGTATGATTCCATTTATTTGTTCTTATGTTTTGTTTAAACATTACTTCAATAATGATAATGTGACGGAAAAAAACTTTGCAAACAAAATACATGACTAAAATTTTGTGGTAGAGTCTGTTTGACAGAACATCAATTGTCTCGGACATTACGTAATCCAGTAAAAATATTCGTTGTGGGTAATAGTAATAGTTATTATTATCATCATTTTATTATACAATCATTTTTTAAGTTTAGACTTAATATTATTAAGTGTGTTCATTTAAGCTTGAGTTAATAGCATGGGTAAATAATATTGCACAAACGAATTAAATTACGAGTATAACTATGTATCCGGCATACAAAAGAAGTTATATACCTGTCCTTATATTAATATCAATGTCATAAAACATATTTACTGAGATCGTGGGCATATATGCAGCGTACAGAATAACAATACATATATTACAATTCATGCCTTTGATATTATTAAGGCTACATCAAATTTTAAGATTTGAACAGAACATTTCAAAATAGACACCTTACTAGCCAATATTGAGATAAAATGTATTTTAATTGTTAATTATTATGTGCTTCCTACGTAGTTTAAAATATTTCAATTACAAAGAGCCAACATTGTCTTTTCCTCTTCTACACTTGTAAGTGCAATTACTACTTATTTCTAATACATATTTCACCATATTATGACTGTAGAGATGAAGAAATTTTTCAAGATCTGCGTGTAATGTTCGATACTAATATTGTAATGTTTGATACATCGTTGTTATATGTTGTAGACGCTATCATGTGTATAATATTGTAGATGATATATTTTAAACATGTCAGCAACTATGTTTATAGTATCTGATAATATTTTCAGTTATAATATGTATGTTTATAATAGTAGTTTTTTTTTACTAACGCGGTGAAACGTTATTAGGGTTTGAAACTGATTTAGATGATAATCAACAATATTGCCTTATATATATTTACGCATTTAAATTACAAACACCTATTTACTTAATTTAAACAATATATAATTATGGAATATTTCCTCAAAACAAAAGCAAAATCGCTGAAAACATTAACAAATGTATAGATTGCCATCAGAATAATTCAGTAATGTTCGATACGAAATGTAGTGAACATTACAATACCTATTATGAAAGGCATATCACTTATAATCTATATCTAAACAATTTCAGTAAGAAAACCTAGCATACAGATTCTGGCTTTAGAAGAAAATAAATATTAAACGCATTACATCTTTGTTTTTGTAGTTACTAGAATCTGATATTCAGTTACTAGATTCTAAAGCCTTACTTATACAAAATTAAGAAAATTTGATTATAACTGTAAAAAATACAAGGATGTATACATTTATGCTGCATCTATGATTAAGTATAACACAAAAATGACTAGTTTAAGTCCTGGTTAATTGAAAATTAAGTATACTAAAGCCATGTTACATTTTTATTGTATTGAACATTACAGTCACATACATTACAGACATATGTGTATATAGATATATTAAAAGATTCATGGGTACAATTCTTTAAGATTTGGTTATTATATATCCCTCCAAATGTAAATCATTTATTAAAAATTCCTTATTTGGGAAATAGTGCATAGAACGTACTAATTTTTAAGTAGCGAACATTGCATGCTTAAGTCATCATCTGGCACAGGCTGTCAAAGTAATAGAATCTCGGTTAATTCTTAGAATTTATCATAAGAAAGATAAGTCTGGCTATAGTAGCATAAGTATTTAATTGTAAATAAACATATAAACGACTTAGATTACTAAGTTATTTTCAGTTATGTGCGGCACTTAATTTACAAGTCGCGTACATTACCGATGCCAGTAAATTTTGGCGACAGTTCTAAAACATTCTACATTTGACAAAGATCAGTCTTTTCAAGTGGGTCAAGCTTCGAAAACAGATAAGAAGACATACATACTCCTGCACAAATTAATTTTTTGCCGGAATTGTATAGGTTTTTGGGGTTACACTAGCTCAAACACGAATAATCCAAAATGGCGACAGTCTCGAACATTACACTTCCAATAGCTTCCCTCATAAAATTTTGGTATCGAATGTGTTATCAATGAAGTCTATGGATCAAAAAATTCCCTTATATACCTTTTGCACGTTAGCTATCAAAAAGCAAGTTTTTCTGAATCGATTATGTTCAGAGTGTGCAGCGACATCAATTTCACAATTCGCGTGAGAATTAGTGGTAACAGGAGGCATTTGAGTGAAAACGGCCATTTTTCACAATATGCTCATGGGGGAAAGGATTAAAGAAAAGAAACATTCAGTTTAAACACATTAATGTTAGTGTTCCTTTAGTGCATAGGATTGCTAACAGGTGATTAACGTAGCTCTCATAAAAAACTGTGTAAACACTATGTTTCGGACTGTTACTGCATTTCTACTACTGTTTAGAACATTGAATGAAGAAATCTAATAAAAGTTTCATTCATCCATTGATAAATTAATGCCCAAAATATAGTTACAGGTAACTATTCTGTCAAAAAATGTTCCTGCCAGACCAACCTTAACCTTTCATTGTCCAACTTCTGGTTGTGAAAAGGATAAACAATATGTTTGTAGGTATTTTTATATTCCTTTTTTTTCTCTTGACATTACCCTAAGCCCTCCATCCTGCCAAATGCAATGTCACCATCAAAAATCTCCTCATGCGGACTTATTGTAGGCAACCTGAAACTTGTGTATAGACGCCACCAAATTCCCACGAAAATTCATAAAGTAAGACCTTATCACATCTAGTTATACTACTATTGTCTATTTCATGTGATGTTGAACGGAACCCTGGCCCGGATTATCCTTGTGGAACCTGTGGGTCTGAGGTCAAAGATTCTGACCATGCCGTTGAATGTGATAATTGCTGCATGTGGTTCCACATACAATGCCAAGGATTGAACAGCACATTGTACCAAGATCTAACCAATAGCAATACATCCTTTGCATGGACATGTACATTATGTGATGATTCAAATCTTTCCGATATTTCAAGCATCCTCTCAATCTCATCACATAACAGAGTCTCACCTCCAGTAGATGAAAATACAGAAACACCTAGCTCTGTAAATCTCAAGACGTTTATATGCATAAACTGCCAGTCAATAGTCAACAAAAAACATGAATTTCAATATTTGTTAATAGATCAAAACCCAGATATAGTTACAGCCACAGAGTCGTGGCTAAATTGAGAACACTTTAACAGTGAAATTTTCCCACCTGAACTTGGCTACACAGTTTTTTGCTGTGACAGGCTCAAAGGTAAGACGGTGGAGTATTTATCCTTGTTAAAAACAACCTCCTACCAAGTGAACAACCAAAACTAAGCACCAATTGTGAAATAATTTGGATAAAAATAGAAATCAAAGGTAGTAAGTCACTCTTTCTGGCATCTTATTACAAACCACACAAACTTGATATGAATAGCATTTTAGAATTTGAAAAGTCCCTTGAACTTGTGCGTAGCTTGAAAGACACAAAATTAATCCTTGGCGATTTCAACCTCTCAATATTAAATTGGGACTCTTAACATACACCATATCTTAAAGAAGGCTTAAACACAACTCCTGTGTATGTTAAATTCCTAACAGATCATTGATGATCATGTACAAATTGTCAATGAAAGTACACGAAATGACAAAATTCTTGATTTATTGCTCATTTCAAACCAAACTCTTGTTAACAACGTCAAGGTCATACCTGGCATATCAAATCATGACATCATATCCACAGAAATATATTCTAGGCCTACCCTCCTCAAAAAAACGTACTTGCACCTTGTATAACAAGGCAAATTGGACGGAGTTGAAAACTTTCATTAAAACCTCAACATCTGAAATACTTCAAAAAGCTGAATCTTTATCTGTTGAAGAACTTTAGGCGCAGTTCAAACACACACTTGAGGATGGCATATCAAAATTCATACCCACTTAAAGAATAACAGCTAAACCATTTTTGCCCTGGATAACAAATCCATTAAAAAGATTATTTCATAAAAGAGACCAGCTCTATAAAAAAATTAAAAAACAAAAAACAAATAAAAATAAATCTGATCATGATCATTGATGGCTAAAATTTAAAATCGCAAAAAAGCTAGAATTAAACAATCATATCAGTCTTACTTAGAAAATATCCTGAACCTTGCAGATGATGATGCATAAAGTAAAGTCTGTACAAAAACATTATTCACACTTTAAAAAAATCTAAACAAGATTCACAAAGTGTGTCTCCATTAAAAGATCAAAAGATTTCAATCAGTTTTCTCACCAATTATACCACTTGCACTTAAAGATGCATACAAAAACTGAGACTCATGGATCCCAGGAAATATTGTCAGTACCCACAAATGAATGACATCAACATCAGTAGGGCAGGTGTACTTAAGCTCATTGCCAACCTCAATGCCAACAAAGCTGCCGGCCCTGACAACATTAGACCAATTGTCCTGAAGGAGCTGAGAGAAGAGATTGTTGCCATCGTTGCAGTTCTTTTCCAAAAATCCCTGACAACTGGTAATATTCCCAATGACTGAACCAGTGCACATGTATGCCCTTTCTACAAAAAAGAAGGATTTTCTTCAAACTTTGCTCAATGTTCACCTCAACAAGGGGTTGTGCAGGACCATGTTGCCCATGTGTCAGCTCAAGGTCAAGGTCACAATTGAAGGTCAAATATCAAACAATCAAAAATTAGACAGTATGTTGTGTTTACTCTGTAAGTCCTATACTAATTGAAAGATTTTCTTTAAACTTGTGCAAGCTTAAGATCAAGTCCACACTTGAAGGTCAAAAATTGACTTAGAAAATGTTCTGAAATTTTAACATGTACTTGAATATTTCTAAAACTAGAACAGATAATCATTTGAAACTTCAAATATATACAAAGTGTTGCAAGTAAGATATGCAAGTCAAGATTCTTAACTAAAAAAGTGTGGGGGGATAACTTTATATTGGTTACAGAAAGCTCAGATGACGAAAATTCTACAATTCCATTGAATTATGACACAATTTATGCCCCTTCTAGGCTTAGAAAATGTTCTGATATAGACAGTATTGGTAGATAGACCTCATTGGTTAGATTTGCAATGCAAAAGAACAATAACTCTGCCTTGCCTAATTTTGGAGTAATTGCCATTTGTTCATTTCCATACTTGTTACTTTGTCTGGGACATAACTCTGTAATTACAAGAGATATGAACAAAATAGTTTGTAGGTAAATAGATTTCAATGAGTAGAAGTAAAGTGCAAAGAACAGTAATTTTTATTTTTCCTTGCCTAATTTTTGAATTATTGCACTTTGAACTTTGTCCGGGATATAACTCTGAAACTACAAGAGGTATACTTTTCTGTATCCAAAACCTAATCAGGGAGCATCACCAACTGACTTAAATTAGCTTTGATTTTTTTAAATGACAATTATTTGTGAAGGTCGGATACTTTAAGACCTATGACCATGAAAAATATATTCTTGTTTGCTTGTACACATCAATCATATTCACTAATTACACAGGTGAGAATGCCCGAAGGGTCAATTGTTTGTCACAGCCTTTTAATAGATACTTAAACACTTAATTTTGTACATTTGGGCTGACATTTAGTGGCCGCAATATATGAAATTGTGTTTAATGGAATTAACTTACATAGTAAAAATCATTGGGAGGGATTTTATGCGCCCGCTTAATAAAAAAGTCGCTTAATAAAGGTGGACACAAGTACGATGCTGACTCAGTGTGTCTACTAGTTGATACAACAACATATGAGCCCCATCACGACAAAACCAACATAATGGGTTTGCGACCAGCATGGATCAAGACCAGCCTGTGCATCTGTGCAGTCTGAACAGGATCCATGCTGTTCGCTTACAAACCCTATTACAATTACAGATACAGGTAGTGAACAGCATGGATCCTGATCAGACTGCGCGGATGCACAGGCTGGTCTGGATCCAAGCTGGTCGCAAACCCACTATGTTGGTTTTGTCGTGACGCGGCTCATATGTATATTATTTTGTAATGCATGTAATGAAAATCTTTTAATTGTTAAAAGTAGAATAAATGTATTATGTAAATAGTAAAATAAGAAAATAAAGGGGTCTTATACGTGGTTCCTAAAATACAGCTCAGATTTTGTACCTTTTGATATCTGATTTTACTTAAAATCCTTATAAAAACAATTATACTATGAAGTTGAAAAATAACACTTAAAATAATTTTATAATTCACTGACATGAATGTTACAGGACTGTTCCGGGAAATGTTAAAGTTGAGATTGATGGTACTGTTTGTGTTGTGTCTAGTGTTGTTGATACTGAAATAGAATGTGTGACAGGGCCCCACAGAGGTTCTATTAACACTAAAGTGGATGTTGAGGTGTCAGGAAACGGAATTGCTGGAGAGGTTTGTTTGTGTATTCTCTTTGTTAATCTCCTCTTTGTTAATCTCTACAGTTTGTTTTATTCTAGTGAAGACATTGCCAGTGTAATGCTACAGGGCCAAAAAACCTTTGTTTGTAGAGGCCTAATATAGGCTATTTCCCAACCAAACTAGCCTCATTTATTCCCAAGTTTGGTCCTCAAAATTTCCCAGTCTTTTGAAATTTCCCATAGGAGTTGGAACATAATTAAATGATGGTGTTGAATTGATGTCTTTTATTACCTTATTAGTATTTTCTAGTGCTTTTTGCTTTTCTATTTTGAAGAACTTGTTAAAATTTTGTGTTTTATATGAGACACCTTTTTCCAAAGTACGCAAAAATCATGCATATTTTCCCCAAGAAAAAGGCTGTGGCCCCTTCTCAAAAAATGGTGTTTTGGCCTTGTGTTAAGTTCCATCCAAGTGCAGACTGAATAAAACCCAGCATGCAACAACTTGGTATGCTGTATAGTCTCTAATTAACGCCCTTGTAGTTTTACATTTTCCTGTAGGGCACTAAATAATATACATAATATATCAAGCCTCATATAGTCATTAATAAATGTAATCATGCTATACATTATATACAAACAATATTCACATTATAAGTAAAAAAAAATATATATGATTTATAGGTACTTGTATATAACATTTAATTTTACTTTACCTCAGCCATATCGAAAGCATTTACTTTTTTTAGCTTTTTTTCGCAGATTATTGCAATAATTGGCTTATACTTAATAATTTGACAAAATATCCATTTAAACAAGACCTTCTTAATCATTTATCTGACATTGACATTAAAATAACCTTAAAGGTCATGGTCAAATTATTTAATTTAGGTTAAGTTGTCATTATTTTGTTATTTATCTATACTTGAGAACAAAGGAGGTCTTGAATAATTTAGATGTGACCTTGACCATCAAGATCAGATGATTTAATTTTGCTTAAATTTTCATTTATTGACATTTGTTTATTGAAATGATTCATTAATGGAAGAACCTAAAAGTGTGAATAGACAGTTCTATTAAAGGGCAATGACAAAAATATTAAAATGATCTTACGTACTCAAATCATGCTAAAATGACTTTTGATGAAGTGTCAGCATGAATTGCTGTTTAAATTATATATATTGTGGGTTTGAAGCGTAAATATATCAATATATGTTGAAAAAAATTAAAACGCCAATAGAATCACCAAGAAGTTTTTAGCTCTACTTTTTTTTTTTTGAAAAAAAAAAGTAGAGGTATTGCTATAGTCGCTGCGGCGTTGCCGTTGCCATTCCCAGCCGCAAACTTGTACCTGGATCATAACTTTTTTATTTCGGCGTCCGTCGTCATGAGTCAACAATCGTCTTCTTCTCTGAAACTACTGAGCAGATTTACTTCAAATTTGGTCTGTAGCATCCTTGTGACAGTCACACTAGAATTTGCTCATGTCATTCCAATTGGCTCCTTTTAGGGGTCAGCAGAGCTAAAAATAGAAAAACCTTTAAACATCTTCTTCTACAGAACTAATGATTCGATGATCACCAAACTTTGTCTGTAGCATTCTTTGGTTGTGTTTTATCAAGTTTGCTCATATTTATTTGATTGGTCCCTTTTAGGGGTCTCTAGGGCTAAAAATAGAAAAACTTTAAACGTCTTCTTCTACAGAACTAATGGACAGATGATCACCAAACTTTGTCTGTAGCATTCTTGGGTAGTCTTTTATCAAGTTTGCTCATATAAATTTGATTGGCCCCTTTTAGGGGCCACAAAAGCTAATAATAGAAAAACCTCTAAACGTCTATTTCTACAGAACTAATTGATGGATGATCACCAAACTTTGTCTGTAGCATTCTTAGGTAGTCTTTTATCAAGTTGTTAATATTATATTGATTGGCCCATTTTAAGGGTCTCTAGGGCTAAAAATAAAAAAAAAACCTTTAAACATCTTCTCCTACAGAACTAATTGATGGATGATCACCAAACTTTGTCTGTAGCATTCTTGGGTAGTGTTTTATCAAGTTTGCTCATATTAATTTGATTGGCCCCTTTGAGGGCCGCTAAAGCTAAAAATATAAAAACTGTTAAATGTCTATTTCTAGAGAACTAATTGATGGATGATCACCAAACTTTGTCTTTAGCATTCTTAGCTAGTCTTTTATCAAGTTTGTTAATATTATTTTGATTGGCCCCTTTTAGGGGTCTCTAGGGCTAAAAATAGAAAAACCTTTAAACATCTTTTCCTACAGAACTAATTGATGGATGATCACGAAACTTTGTCTGTAGCATTCTTGGGTAGTGTTTTATCAAGTTTGCTTATATTAATTTGATTGGCCCCTTTTAGGGGCCGCTAAAGTTAAAAATAGGAAAAACTGTTAAATGTCTATTTCTAGAGAACTCATCGATGAATGATCACCAAACTTTGTCTGTAGCATTCTTGGGAAGTCTTTCAACAAGTTTGCTCGTAATAATTTGATTGGCCCCTTTAAGGGGCAGCTAAAGCTAAAAATATAAAGACTGTTTAATGTCTATTTCTAGAGAACTAATGGATGGATGATCACCAAATTTTGTCTGTAGCATTCTTGGGTAGTGTTTTATCAAGTTTGCTAGTATTATTTTGATAGGCCCCTTTAAGGGGTCTCTAGGGCTATAAATGGAAAAACCTGTAAACATGTTCTCCTACAGAACTAATTGATAGATGATCTCCGAACTTTGTCTGTAGCATTCTCGGGAAGTGTTTTATCAAGTTTGCTCATATTAATTTGATTGGCCCCTTTTAGGTGCCACAAGCTAAAAATAGAAATACCTTTAAATGTCTATTTCTACAGAACTAATTGATGGATGATCACCAACTTTTGTCTGTAACATTCTTAGGTAGACTTTTATCAAGTTTGCTTATATTATTTTGATTGACCCCTTTTAGGGGCCATAAATCTAAAAATAGAAATACCTTTAAATGTCTATTTCTACAGAACTAATTGATGAATGATCACCAAACTTTGTCTGTAGCATTCTTAGGTAGTCTTTTATCAAGTTTGTTAATATTATTTTGATTGGCCCCTTTTAGGGGTCTCTAGGGCTAAAAATAAAAAAAAACTTTAAACATCTTCTCCTATAGAACTAATTGATGGATGATCACCAAACATTGTCTGTAGCATTCTTGGATAGTCTTTTATCAAATTTGCTCATATTTATTTAGGGGCTGGTAAAGCTAAAAATAGAAATACCTTTAAATGTCTATTTCTACAGAACTAATGGATGGATGATCACCAAACTTTGTCTGAAGCATTTTTGGGTAGTCTTTTATCAAGTTTGCTCATATTATTTTGATTGGCCCCTTTTAGGGGTCGCTAAAATTAAAAATTGATATTCATTTAAAAGCTATAGTTACAGAACAAATTGATGGATGATCACCAAACTTTGTCTGTAGAATTCTTTGGTAGTCTTTTATCAAGTTTGCTCATATTAATTTGATTACTGCCCCTTTTAGGGGCCACTAAAGCTAAAAATAGAAAAATAGAAAAAACCTTTGAACATCATTTCCTACTGAAATAATTGATAGATGATCACCAAACTTTGTAGCATTCTTAAGTAGTCTTTTATCAAGTTTACTCATATTAATTTGATTAGCCCCGTTTAAGCTTAAGCTTAAATACCCCAGGTCATGGCATTTCTTCAAATTATTGTTTAAACATGCATTCTATGCTCAAATTTAATATTAGAATATATTGACATTCCAACACTGGAAAGCAGTTGTTTCTGGTGAGCGACTAAGGGCCATCATGGCCCTCTTGTTAGAATTGCGTGTTGCTATTTATAGGAATCGCGTGTTGCTATTTATAAGAATTGCGTGTTGCCATTTATAGGAATTGCATGTTGCTATTTATAGGAATTGCGTGTTGCTTTTTATAGGAATTGCGTGTTGCTATTTATAGGAATTGCGTGTTGCTATTTATAGAAATTGAATGTTGCTATTTTTAGGAATTGTGTGTTGCTATTTATAGGAATTGTGTGTTGCTATTTATAGGAATTGCGTGTTGTTATTTATAGGAATTGCCTGTTGCTATATATAGGAATTGCGTGTTGCTATATATAGGAATTGCGTGTTGCTATCTATAGGAATTGCGTGTTGCTATTTATAGGAATTGCGTGTTGCTATTTATAGAAATTGAATGTTGCTATTTTTAGGAATTGTGTGTTCTTATTTATAGGAATTGTGTGTTGCTATGTATAGGAATTGCGTGTTGCTATTTATAGGAATTGCGTTTTGCTATTTATAGGAATTGCGGAATTGCGTGTTGTTATTTATAGAATTGCATGTTTCTATTCATATATATATATGTATATATATATATATATATATATATATATATATACAAAAAAGGCAAACAAAACTAATGTGACAAGACAGACCAACTAAATTTATAAAAAGGAAACGTTAAGATATGTTCAAACCTTTCTATGTTTGCTTTTAGAAAAAGTAAAAAGTTAAACGTTGCCCCCGCCTGGAGGTGGCTCTTGTTAAACAAGTCAGGTGACTTGAGCAAACTTTTGAAGTTACAATTACAGATATTAAGGATCTTGTAAAATTGAAACAAACCTAAGTCATTCATTTGACATGTTCTTAAACGTTTCCAGAGTTCACTTTGACAGCTATTGTGAAATGCTAGCGCTCTAACATGACCCACGCGGGTCAAGTGACCCACGCGGGTCAAGTTAGGAAACCACCATTTTATTCTTTATATGGAGAAAAGTGTTGTTCCTTTAATTGACTGCCTAGTATATTCATTTTGAGGGCATTTACAGAATAATGAATGAAAAACTTAAGAAATGAAAATGGGCGTGTGTCTCCCTTTAAAATAATGAAAGGGGATAAACAAAATGATTTTATTGTAATTTTCTTTAAAGACTTGTTAAAAGCAGCACACCTCCAGATTTATGCTAATTTTCATGAAAATTTTTAAAATATGTGTAAATGTAAAATTATGTGTAGTGACC